TGTATACACTGTATTACGTGTAAATTGTCAATGATATCATTTCCTCTTAAAACATAACAATTCATTGAACATTGATTAAAATCAATCCGAAAATCCTTGGACAGCGTACTTTTTATTTTAGGGAGAATACAAATTTGATTTCTAGTTGAGACATTCATATCATCGTGTATAGAAACGTCTACTTTTTTCTTCTTCTCTAAAGGTTGTATTTCTTTGGTTGTAGATTGCCTACGCTTATGAGCTACAAGATTAGGATGTACTTGTTGACAATTAACTGCTATACGATTACTATCAATTTTTTCATCTCCATTTTCTATTATTTTATCTTCATCTTCATAGACTAATTTTATGTCTTCATTGTCTTCATCATCATTAGGTTCATTCTCTAGTAAAGTGGTTTTAAATGCGTTTAAAATGGTGTTGGAATTAATGCTTTCGTAATGTAAAGCCGAATCCTGCCGCACAGAAGAGTCTCTATCGAGAAAGTTACTGGATAACAAGTCCAAAGGTAAACTTTCCTCAAACAAACTCGCATTGTCTCCTTCTGACGAGAACAAGCTAATGTCTTTCACAGACACGTGCTTAGATGAATTCAAAATATCTGATGTATTCATATTTTCTTGCGCAGGTTTATCTTCAAATTCACCAAAACTTATATTTGGTGAGAACATTTTATCAGACGTTCGCAACTTGGATATATTGTCCAAACCGGCTTCAGTGAAGTTTAAAGAGTCCCATATTATATCATTTGATAAAGACGGACTGATATTTTCACTTGTTTTATTTATTTCTTTTGAAATATTGGCTGTCGTTTTTGATAATTCATCTTTGCGTTTGTAACTTGATGTATTGTTTACTACTACTGTTTTGTTGCTAGCACAAATTGACGAATCTGGTTTAATGTTTGCACTCGTGTTTTGTGGAACATTTTCCTTTCTAAGAATTTCTTTAAAATGTACATTATTGCTTTTGATTGTGGTTTGTGTATTGTTAGACCGAGTAGTAGTTTTAGTGCTAGACCCTATATTTATGGGACTTAATATTTCAACAATCTTATTGTTCGTTTCTACATTACTGTCACCACTAGCAAAATTGGAAGATGTTGATGATTTTGTATCCCATTTAATTTCCGCAACACCAATTTCTAGAGATAGATATCGTCTTGCTTCCGTAATAAGGTTTTCAGCAGCCTCTTTAGTTGTGATACCACAATATCCTGTTATCCAAATACTTTTAATTTTATTCCGTTTACGTATATCGTCAGTATCGTCATCTTCTCTCTCCTTTTCACTTTGAAAAGGTACAGATCTATGAAGTATATTTTCTATGGTGTTTGCATCAGCTGACGCAATATTGGCAATTGATTCAAAGCCTGAATCAAAAAGAATTCGAGCTCTCATACCATTCAGAGATGGCAATTTCATTAACTCTAACAGTTCAGAATGAATCCCGAAATGTAAACGATCCTGAAATTGTGATATTAACATTTCCATATTTTTCCAGCCCAATTGATGACAAAAGGCTGTTACCATACCTGTAAAAAAATAGTTTTAAATACCTATTAAAATTGAATGCTATTTTTTATTTACCTTGTCCCACCAATATTTACACACCTGCAAAAGTTGCAGCTCCTTGTTGCAGACTCTGTAAGAAGCCACGAGCACACTGAAACTTTGCTGCTACTTCTGCCAATGGAACTTCATTTACCAAGTCTTGCAAAGCCAGTGCTGTATAAAATCTTAAACAAAAACATAAAATGGATAAATAAATTTACAACTCAACTTCAAACATATTATTATATACTTAAAGGGATATTTTACCTTTTATGTATATTAATTTTGTTCTGTATGTTGTTAGCCTTATTACCACCTCTTAAACATCTTATTATAAAACTCTCTTGTACACCAACTAATTCCCCAACTCTCTTCATGGCTTTTGTTAGAGATTCCCAGAGAGTCAACATATGTATCCAGTCTATATTGCCCCACTGACTACTGACACTGTAAGGAGTCACTAAATATATTAGATGCAAATCAGTCTCCAGAACCAAGCACTGGCGAGCTTTCTGTAGTTCACAAAATAATGACAACCCATCATTTGGAGCCATTGATGATGATAGACAGGCTTTACCTAATGGTGTAGCAACAAATCGCTTCTCATCACCATCAGTCTGTACCCTCACTAACTCATAATTTTGTAATTCATCTAAAGTATTTTCTAGTAGGCAGTCTTGAGTACCTGTGGCCTCCTGCTGATTATAGAGCAAAGTGCATTTAGAATACATGTCCAACTGTTCCTTAGTTGTCAACACTTGGCTGGCAATCATTTCAAGCACAGCCCTCATATATTTATCTTCACTTTCAATGCAACTTTTCACAGGGTCTAAGTTCCCCATCATTAAATCAAAGCCAATTTTTCTTTCAGCCTCTGTACATATTAAAATACTCTCACCTTTTGAGTCTTTCCCCATTCTACCAGCTCTACCAATCATTTGTTTGTATGTTAGAATGTTAATTGGCTGTCTTTGAAACACTGGTGACCGGATAATTACTTTTCTAGCGGGCAAGTTGACTCCTGAGCTCAGTGTAGATGTAGCAACCAAAACTCTGATTGCTCCTGATTTAAACCCACCTTCTACAATGTCTCTCTCATCAAATGTAAGCCCCGCGTGATGGTAAGCAACCCCAAAAGATATAGTTTTCTTCAAAACTTGGTCCAACCCTACAGGACAATTCTTCAGTTGTTCTAGTACTTCTACAATACTCATCGACTTTAACTGGCTTCTTAATATGGAGCCAGCCTCACTGCCTTCACACCCCAATTTGTAAAATGATGTTGCCACAGACTGTGCTAAACTTTCACACCAATTCTTTGTCATACAAAATATTAGAATAGAACATCCTTCTTTAATTGTTTCTAAACAAATTTTTAGAACATTATCTCCTTCAGCTGTTAAGCTCAAGTCTATTGTATTAACACAAGTTCCCTTTTTATCATAATATTTGTCTCCCACTAGACAGTACTCATTTAAAGGAATTGGTCTATATTGTGTGATAAATAACTCAGCATTCAGCCAGTTTGCCAAACATTTCAAATTGGGTAATGTGGCTGACATACCCACTACTTGTACTTTCACATCATCAGAATTTAGTGATACATACTTAATTTTAGTCAAAAGTAATTCCAAGATGTATCCTCGACTAGGATCACCCAATAAATGTAATTCATCAACAATAATAGCCCCTAGTTCTGCTATGGAACCATCATCTAACAACTTGTTGACCAAACTATTTGCCTTCTCAATAGTGCACACAGCAACATGAACAGCCTGCAAGCCTCCAGGAGGGGACTGAGAGCCCATAAACCCTTCTACTCGAATTCCTGAGCTAGACAAAATATCTTGGAGATAGAACATCTTTTCCCTAACTATAGATACAAATGGCAGTATGATTATTACCTTTTTCTGACGTTCTAATATGGTTTTTATAGTTAATATTTCTGCTACAAGTGTCTTGCCAGCAGATGTAGGAGCTGAGTACACCAGGTTGCAGCAGTCAAATAGTACCTTCGAGTTTGCCAAACAGTTGACCTGCCATTCGAACATTTCTGTAATACCTCTTTCTTCATATTTCCTTGCTATTTCTAAAGGCAGACCCCAGTCTCTTAACTTTTTATTTCTGTTGCTCACGATCCGCGATGTCAGTGAATTATTTTGCGTCGATTCCAATGTTATTGTAGTGTTTTGTGAATAATTATTAAATTTCTTACATTGTTTTTCATTTCCTTTTGATTCTTGGTGATAACTATTTTCCGCAAATTGTTCTTTAACAACTTGCAAAGAACTTTGCAGTATGAATGAATTATCAAAACAATTATCTAAGAAACCAATATTTTCCGCTATAAATTGAGAATCAATTTTATCTGTTTCCATATTCATTTCAAAATTGTTTACACAATGTTTTAAACCCCATAATAAAATGCACACTGCACTAATATAATAATTAAAAATAAAACTCGAGAAAATCAAATCAAAAGCAACAGTTAAATTTGACAATTGACAAGTACTAAGTAAACATGTCATATTGACAGATGCCGTGTAAACAAAATCTGTGAAACAAAATAGAAAATATTATATGAATAGGTACCTATATTTTAAAGTCACTTAGGACTTTTTTATAATTAACCAATCATCATTTTCAAATTAACTATTATATCAGTACCATTTGATATGAAACGCTTGAAGTTCTTTTAGTCATGCGGAAAAGCACAATAGGTACATTTGCTATTTTAGAACAAGTCTTCACACCTTACACTAGTTAAAGATCTTAATACAGCCGCAGTCATATTGACCTATCTGCCTACTTCCAAAACCGAAAAGGGTATTAGAGATTCTAGTTCTAAGAAAATTACACAGCCTTTGTGGACGTATCTAAAGTCTTTGACCGCGTGTAAAAAAAAGATTTACCATTAACTTCTGTAGTCCTATAAAAATATACGTAAGTATGTGTTCGTTTCTTCTTTGCGAAATACGCGGAAGAAACAATATCCTTGAAACCCAGTGAGGTCTCACAGGGTACTCTTTTGGGTCCAATACTATACCTACCTACTGCTGATATTCCGTAAGTCAACGGTGTAGCTAGCACACATTGGCTGATGATACTACAATCCTCTTACCATAACATATATTGATATGGTATATGTCAGTGGCGATTTATACAACAAAGGCTCAAAAACTGTCGTTCAACATTCTTTCTTTAATATAAAACAGTATACAAAAATTTGTTGTCGACTATATCAGTCACCCATGCTCAAAAATTGCATAGGAAAATTGCCATTTTTGCAACGATTTGTTCACGTGAATAAACTAGCGCGTTGCGGCGAAGGCGACGTCGCACGCTGTTTATGAAGAGTCCCGTGACTTGAAACTACTAAAGCTTTTCTCAGTTTATTGACGTGCGAAGAGAAGCAAGTTATTTTCAATAAAGGTATGTCTCGTGATAGTAACTTTTCAAAAATTGACTGTCAATAACAACATGACAATGAAATAAACTTTTTTATTCAGACTTATTTCTGATCACATTTTCAGCACTTACGTAAATATGTAAAAATATCATTACCTACACCAAATTACCAAAGGCTGCATAAAAAATGCATATGCATTTTTATGGGACATGGTGCAAACGAGCAGACGTCACCGTACGCAGCGCCGCCCGTGGAAGTGGGGAGGGGGAGGGGTCGAGGATTGGCGTATTTAGAAAATCACAGGAATAGGAAGGGAGTTTGGAGTTTGGACCTCTGGTAACTAAACTTACATACCATTTTTAATTTTGATATATTTGTCACAATTCACCACATCGCCATTTATTACGTGAAATGCTAGGGATCTCACTCACAAGGTAGTGAAATAAACCAAAGTTTTTATTTTATTAATTGCAATATTGAGATCAAGGCAATATATCTCATATCTTTAGGTATATAAAATGGATAATATTTTGTAAACTAAAAGGCAATAATTTTTTCGCTGGTTTATAACCATTTTAAAGATATATAATAATTGACTTATATTTCTTGCCTCCATAAAAACATTCATTTGCAAATAAAAATTATAAAATATCATAATGAGATCTTTGTTGCTGTTGACTCTTTGCTCTCGGTCAAAGCTCTTGATTCATGTACAAATGATGCATATGTTATACCCTGGAAATGAAAAGATAATTGTAATTAATGTCTGAGAAGAAACTAAACTTTAGATGACACACACTCTGCACACAATACCTGTTGCATAGCAGCCCTGACGAATCCTTCATTGGCTGAAACTGTAAGAGCTTTGATCCTATGCCCAAAATTAAAAATAATTTTGGATCTTAATCTAACATGACCTCTTACTTTTAAATTCTTCCTTGGATAATCATCTTCACCTGAAAAAAGAATTTTTTGGTATCAAGAGTAAATGTAACTGATGATTACACAATAACATCCACTTAGATTTGACTTTAATGTTATACAATATTATATATCTAATCTAGTTTAGGTTATGGTTCTAAATAATGTTTAATATTCTTTTCAGTACACATTTATTTATTTATTAAAAGTTAATAAATAATATTTTTCAGCAACACAGGAATATTTATTTACATAATTTATAATGTTAATATACTTACCACCATAGTCATCAGGATATACTTTGACAACATTCTTTAATTCTTGTGTTCTTTTTATTTCCATGGGTCCACCAAGGGTGTTTACGATTTTTTCAAAGTCATCCCAAGCTGTCCTGCAGCACACTAACGTCTTGTCTGAAAAATTTAAGTATAGAAGGGTCATTCGAATAACAAATATGTTGTGGCTTCTGCCTATGAACACATTGAACAACAGATAATGGAGTAACTAAAGTCTTTGGCAGCCCAAGCCAAGCAAGCCTCTCTATTGTGTCTCTCAATAATTATTATTCAAAGGTTAAAAAGAAGCTCTCTTTACTTGAATATTTACCTTTGAATAATCTTTCTAAAATAGGTTTTACTGGTCTCTCCGCTTCCCAAGCTGCCTGCTGAGTGAGGACTTCCTGTTTGAATATGTAATTACAGTGACCATTTGTCATATTGCTCACATATGCCATCATTGCAGTTACATCTAAGTTAAGAGTCTTAATTTCTGGATGCTCATCCATACATTCTGGCATGGGGTTCAATGAGGAATCTTCACTAGAAATAATTAAGAAATTATTGATGTTTACAATGTATGAATCAACTTTTTTTTCAAAATCAATGTTCTTTCTTTATAATATAACTGTTTTCACTTTAATTATTACCTATGTTGTCTACATTCTTCATCACTAGACTCTTCACTCCATAAATCCTTAATATCTTGCGATAGATTTGAATTAGGCAATATCTCCCCTTTTACTGTCACACCCACAGATTTTAGTTTATTAGCCAAATTTTCTTCAATTCCACTCATAAATTCGAAGATAACCTAGAATATGGTTAAAAACATGTAAAAATTCTTTAAGAGTATACACAGCACAGGTTTTTATACAAACAAGGCCCAAAATTATGGAAACTACCAAACCAACATTGATATAACTTGGTTAATTTTCTTTAGTATGTTTTTGAAACATTAAGTTTATTAAAAACAAAGTTTTTTAACCTTTTTATGCTAAGCATAAGTATTTGTGCAGTGAAGCAGTTCCCAAGATTTTTAACTTGAAAGAAACACTCTTAAATTGGAACTTACACTCATGTACTGTTTAAAGAAATAAAAAAAAACTAAATCATACCTTGGGAGGTTTATACATGCATGGGTAAAGCTTAGCACATTCGAGATAATCTTCTGCTTGATCCAATATTGAGCGAGCTCCATATGAAGCTTTTCCTGCACTTAGGGCAGAAAGAGACTTGGGGTTCCTAGCAATAACTAGAAAAATCTTTGTTTAAGTTAATGTGTAGAACTAGTCACTTTTCCCACTTTGTGTACAATATAGTCACCTTTTGTCCATACTCTTCCTTCTTCGCTAATTATATCAATTACTAATTTTGACGTGTCATTAATGTGAAAGATTTTGCACACTGCAATTACTCCAGGTCTTAGAGTCAACTCAACCATCGCGCCTAGGTGCCGGAGATTTGAACATGATAGTTGTTCAATTTTCACATTCTTCGACTTTTTCAACTGTAACATATATGAATAAATATTGTTAATAAAATGTTGTTTCTTCATGTGCAATATTTACAACATTACCTTTCGTAGGAATTCTATTTCTTGCTTTATTTTTCTTTGCAGTTTCGTTACTCCATCTATTTCATTTAATGGTTCCAATTTTACTACAAGATTTTCGCCTAAGGTTATTTTATCATTAACTAATAACATGAGTTCTTCTGATGTAGCCATTATCGTAAATAATTGAAATATAAATATACTCTTCCAAACAAAAACATTTACCAATGTGGAAAATCAGCAGGCAAGGCAAAGCAAAGCAAAGCAAGTGACATTTACATGAGTTGACTTGACATTTATGACAAGCTGACTGTGTCAGCTGTTCCAGGACTTGCAAACGTATTATCTATGATCTAGTCTTTGTTTTATGAAATAGGAGGCAAACGAGCAGACGGATCACCTGATGGTAAGCGATCGGCGCCGCCCATGGACATTCGCAACACCAGAGGAGTCACAGGTGCGTTGCCAGCCTTTTAAAAAGGAATACGCTACCTATACGACCTTTAAACCTTCAAGAAACGATCTTGAAGGTTTGAAGGTCGTATCGGTTCGGGAATACCGCCGCCGGAAGATCATTCCAAAGTTTTGTTGTGCGGGGCAGAAAGTTACGGGTAAATCGCACAGTTGTGGACTACCAACCATCTATGCGATGGGGATTTTTTTTTTACTTGCAATAAACTAGTGCATGATGGATGAATAAGTTTTCGGGTGGAACGATGGCGAAAAGATGCAGTGCAATGCCCCGTGATAGATGCGATAGAGAATAAAGTTTACTAGTCTACACCAATAAAGTTTTCTTGTACCTGTAGATTCAATTCAGTTCAGGCCAAGAATATTATATAGAACAATTTGTTTGTGTGCTTTATAATATTCTTGGTTTAGGCAATATTTTTTTTTCTAAGAATAGTTGTTTATTGTTTTCCCTACGACCGACCCCGCTGTAAATAATTGATCTAAAAGGAAAAGCTTTCAATTAAGTGTATTATTTATTTCGAATTATGAACCTTTCTGACTTTTCGCTAGAAGATTCTAAAGATTTTTTAACCAATATACGTATACAACCAATTTTCAATCATTATAGTGGAGAATACTCTTATCTCTCATTAGTCAGATAGACACTTAGGTAGGTATTTTAATCAATCAAGTCATACGTGTCTGTCCTCCTACTATAATACCTATGCGTACCGATCTACGCTACAAGCCAAGTACAACCATTGAGATTATATTTCCTATGTCAATGAGTGCAACGCTCCATCCACAAGATAAAATATAGGTGATATGAGGCTGGCCACACTAGTTTCTGAATTAGATTTCTGTTGCGAAAATAAAATAATATGACGAATTAAATCTGAAATTATGTACAAAAACAAATTTTGTATACGTAAGCTGAGCATTTAGATTACCCAGTTTCGGTAAATAAATAGTGAAGTAAAGTACCGTAAAATGGGGTGAAGCGGGTCACTTTAGAACTTTCTTTACAATTTTAATATATGAGCACTTGACAAAATAAGATTAAAGGTATTTTTTTAATGTTCCGAGACTCTAAAGTTTATTAAAAAATACATAGTTATAATGTTTTATTAACAAAAATCAGAGAAAATCGTAAAAAACTGGTCAAACCCGGTTCACCCCGTGCTCGGGGTGAACAGACTCAAAACTGGGGTGAAGAGGGTTTTAGGCTAGGGTTGTCAAAAAAACTGTTTCATATTTAACCAGTCTTTGCAGTTAGGTAGTCAACATTTTTTTTACACCTAAATAAAAATATTTTTTTTTACTATAAAAGCCTCGGCCTCTGGCGTCATTGCCGTTTGGCCACCATGGGGTTCACCGATTTCTTAATGCGTCTCTGTAAAACTGAATATGAAATTCCATATTTCTCAGCAACACGTCGTATCGATGTGTTTCCAGCTGATATGTTTAGTAAAGCTTGATTCATTATGGCTATGTCATGTTTTTTAAGAGATTTCGCTCCCGGTTTGGGTCGATAATTTCTAGGCATATCTGTATACAAATAAAATATATTTCGTAAATATATAGGTGCCTATTTGAGAACGCGTGCTAACTCACTAGGATAATATTGTAATATGTATATAATATAAATATTTAATTTATTATTTGATTTTTATTAAATTTAAAAATAAAGTAGGTAAAAATAAAAAACATATTATTATTTTATTGATGACCTAGGAAAGGACCCAAAAAGTTACAACAATAAAACAAAATCAAAAATAAAATAAAATAATACCTTGGATAGTTAGCATTAAACGTGTCGACAGCCCTGATTAAAATAAACCCCTTCACCCCATTCTTGAGTCTGTTAGCCCCACAAGTGATTCTGTTGCCCCCTTTCTATGACCCGCTTCACCCCTCAGGTGACCCTGATAACCCCGAAAATCTAAGTAATTGCCTTAAATAAGTTTTTCTCCAATTATGCAAGAAAATAATACACAAATTCACTCACCTATGCGTTTTTACAATAAGCAAAGAGACAAGGTTTGCTTAGAACCGGGTTATATCGGCGAAAAATCACAGAAACAAAAAAAAAACTTAAATTGCGCGCGACCAAAATACGAGTGTTTTGAAGTAGGTTTTTTTAAACCGTTTTTTCTTCCATTCTACTTTGTTTTTGGAGTTTATGGCCTGGATACGAGTCCTTTAAGCCAACATTCTACTTTGTATGTGAATCATGTGTTGCCATTTCATAAAAATTCAAAACCTTCTTTTCTCAAGTTAGTTACCTGACCACAAATAAACTAAGTTTTAGAGCCAGAAAATGAACGTGAACAAAATTCGACAACATGATTCTGTTCCCCCCTAGGACCCGCTTCACCCCATTTTACGGTAACTAAACAAGCGAAACGCTAATAAGTCGATGTCTAAGCATAAATATTCAGAAGTGGTGTTGCCTGCATCTATTAATTAAATTAAATGAATTGCCAAAATTATCATAATAAAAACCAATTAATTCATAAAATTTCAAGCTTAATTTAAATCAGGTATTAGTGACGATTTAGGTAAAATAAAAACGGAACGAATTTTATTCAGATTTACCCGCCATTATACTGATTCGTTACTATTGTCACGTGACCATAACCTAAAGCAGCCAATCAAAATTCAATGCTTAGGCGACAACCACAATTTTGAGAAATGGCTGACGATAAAGAAGTTGAGAAAACTATTGCTGAAGACTTGGTTGTTACCAAGTACAAACTAGCTGGACAAATTGTTAATCGTAAGTTTTTGTGTTGCTCTTTACGAGTGCTTTGTTTTAATTTTTGTGCCAATGTCAGAAATCATATTCGAATCTACACGACGTAGGTTGGTCCGATGGACGCGTGTCATCGCCATGCGGACAATGTGGTGCCGCTATCCGTGCCAAGTAATTCTAATAAGCGAGTACGATTTTAACTCAAGATAAAATATTATTTACAGGTGTCCTGGAACAGGTCATTGCGAAATGTGTGCCTGATGCATCAGCCAGAGAAATATGCGAATTTGGCGACAAGCTAATTCTAGACGAGACTTCGAAGGTTTTCAAAAAAGAGAAAGATTCTAAGAAGGGTATAGCATTCTCAACATGTGTGTCGGTGAACAATTGTATATGTCACTTCTCGCCGATACCTAGCGAAAACGATTACATACTCAAAGAGGGTGATCTCGCCAAGATGTAAGTACTTTGAAGTTCGTAATCAAGTGAACTTTGCTCAAAGCTAGTGCAATGCCCTCTTTGCCTTTGTTACTTTACTGTCACTGTTACACACTGTCAGTGCATAACTTAAACTCTGATCTATTAATATCTCTCATATCACACTGAATTTGGGATACATGGTTGTAACCAACTGCAACCTACTTTATATAACCTCTATTCCAAAAGGTGAGATCTGGTCTTCACTTACAATATGAATTTAGTCTTTAATGAATATGAATTTAGTTGAAAGTCGAATTTTTAACAGAATCTATTTGGTTTTATAGGTTAGTTAGTGTTAGTGGGTTAATTTCAGGGTCTTTATTTTATTTTTTTTGTTTGCAGAGACCTAGGTGCACACATTGATGGATTCATTGCAGTAGTTGCCCACACTGTAATAGTTGGTGGTGTGGAAGTAACAGGAAGAGCAGCAGATGTTGTGCTTGCTGCTCACCTTGCTAGTGAAGCCGCCCTGAGGTTGTTGCGGCCCGGTAATGAGGTATACTTTACTTTTAGATGTTCCAAGTTTTGAGTTTTTTTTTGTCTATCATTCAATTGCATCGTGGACTAGGATTTCCATTATTTATATATATTTTTTAATGTAGTTTTACTTTGTTGTGTCGCTTCATACTATTGTTACTAACTTGCCATTTATTGCTCGATTTTGTATTTCTCTTGATAAGTAATATTTTTTAATACCTAATTTACTTTTTAGAACTACGTCATAACAGATGCTGTGCAGAAGATCACAGCAGAATATGGCTGCAAACCTGTAGAAGGCATGCTTTCACATCAACTGAAGCAGTTCCGTATCGATGGCGAGAAGAGCATCATACAGAACCCTTCTGAAGCACAGCGCAAGGAACATGAGAAGGCAACTTTGGAAACCTATGAAGTTTATGCAATGGATGTTTTAGTGTCCACTGGAGAAGGCATTGTAAGTATTGTAGATTTTAATTATGGATTTATATACCTATATTTAATATTTAAAAATGTGATCCAAAGTTAAAAATGATAGGCCCTGAATTCTTTCCAGACTATTAGTCAATAAATTTTCTGGCAGTTCTCAGGGCAAAGTAAACTAGTAAAATTCTGACTGAAATGATTTTTATATTATTTTGGTTTATATATTACTAACAGTTAATCATTGATGTTAAATAAATCTTTTCAAACAGTAAAAGTCCATTAAAACTTTTAATGAATATTTGTTATCCAGGGCCGAGAAATGGACACAAGGTGTACAATATACAAGAAAACTGATGAGGTTTATCAATTGAAACTTAAAGCTTCAAGAATGTTCTACAGTGAGGTGAGTAAAGTTATTTTTAATCAAGTTCTTACTTGATAACTTAAGGAAAAAATTCCAGACTATCATAATAATTATTGCCTATGCATAGTTGCTGTGATAATCTGGACATAGAAATAGGAATGTGTTTGAACCAGAACATTTTCTAGTGTTATGGTATAGATCATTTCTACATTACAATTTGAATTTAAATAAAATTTAAATAAAACATGACTTTTGAGATTGTGAAAAATATAATTACTTATATTTTTATTTGACAGGTCCGCAATAAACATGGCTCAATGCCATTCAACCTCCGAAGCTTTGACAAAGAGACCAGTGCGAGATTAGGTGTTGTTGAATGTGTCAACCACAAACTTATTGAGCCTTTCCAGGTATAGTGATATTGCATTAACTAAGAATATAGTTTTTGCTGTTAAATGTTGTAAAAAATATGTGATACTAATTGTGATGGAAAAGTAATATAATATGCCTTTTGTAGGTTCTGTATGAGCGCCCCGGTGAGCTTGTGGCGCAGTTTAAATTTACGGCCCTGTTGCTACCAAGTGGTACACATCGTATCACTGGCCTGCCATTTGATAAAAGTACATGCAAGAGTGAGCGCAGTATCAAGGACCCTGAACTCAATGTAAGTATATTTACATACATCATTTGAGACTAAAATAGAAATTGTTCACATTAATAATACTGTCTGGTTATTGAGGCCCATTACTTACCCCTGTAATCTTTCAAAGCATACTTCCACATGGTGTGATTTGAACAAGCACAGGGCATATTAAATGTAACGTTTTTGAGCCGATTTGCGTTTCGATCGCACTTCAGTTTGAATCATTACGACATTTTTATACCACTGTTATAAAAATAAGGTAGTTATTTTCGAAATCTATCAGTTATAATAATACCAAATATTCACAGGCACTCCTCAACTCATCCGCGAAATCTAACAAGAAGAAGAAAAAGAAAACTGGCGCCGAAGAACCTATGGAAGTCGAAACTGTTGCCTAGCAACGGGATGCCTTGCCCAGGACATTAACGAAATGAAATCTACAGCTTCCTTCAACATACTCTTTTAAGGATACCTTTATTACAAGCTGATAAAAAAACAAATAGATATTAAATTTTACATTTTAAATCTGATACATTTTGGCTTGTTTATAAAATCGAAAATTACAGTAGAGTCCACATATTCATCTTTAAAACTAGGGGGACAAGCAACTTTTTTATGTGGGGATTTTGCAATAGTATGTAATTCTAAATACAAAATAAGTGTGCTATTGTACTGTAATGAGATGACTAACATAATGTTTTGCTTTGAATCCTTAATTCATCACTGAATCCTACATGTTTGAAATAGTACTTGTACATAAAATGACTGGACACTCCTAAGAAGTGTAATTTGAACAGAAAGTAATAATATATCAAGACCATTCCTTTGAATGTTTGTTTTAGACCTTTTAAAAGTGCACAAAATTTTAATTCCTTTATAAAATTTGATATTACATGAATTGACATTTTTATTGATTTGTTTGTAACATTTGCGCAACTGTTTCATAATATTGTTAAAGATTTTCCTAAAATTTACCGAAATTGTAGTATTCATAATAGTATCTCTGTAACTGAAGTTTTTAACATAGTTATTCTTTGAATTCATATAAATCAGATACCATTATTTTTTGTGATGACACCAAGCTTTCTTTCATAAAGAATCTTATATAAATTTAAATAGGTAATTAGTAAAATGATGGTTTTTTATTAAATTTGTGATGGACATTCATGTTTTGTGAGGTCTTTGTTGTGTCAACTGCAATATTGTTGAAGCTTGGAAATGTTTACAATGTTTATGGAGCAGATCCTATTATTAGGTAAAGTTGTAAAGTATGTGACACTGCAAGAAAGGAATAAATCAAACTGTGCCACAGTTGTGGGCTGTTTTTGTAAATTTTATTTTTTTAATCATTGCCCCAACACACCCTTTTGTAAGAGCATTAACAAACTATCAATCATACTGACCTATAATAATTTTTTTTACCCCCGAAGGAAAGAAGGGGTGTTTTAAGTTTACGTGGCTTGTCTGTCTGTGGCATTGTGAAGCTTAAATAGATAAGAAATTTTCAATTTTTTTTTTTTTAATAAAGGTGACTTACGTGCTAGTGTTCCTAGACATGTTTGATGAAAGTTAGTTTAGCCATTTACAAGTTATGGGGGTGCAAATGGGGAAGGGTAACCAAAGGTCTGCAAATATACTCAAGTGGGGTCTCAAATGAAAGGGAATGTTGATGACTTAATCAAGAGCTCTCTTAGCAATATATAATACCTATAAAAAGTGAAAACTAAAATATAAATTTACAAAACCTCTGACCAAAAAAACTAAGATTTTAATAGTAATTAATAACTAAGATTTAGATATTAGTAGATAGATAATAAAAGAAATAAAAATATGTCACGTTGAGGGACCGAAAAAATTTGGAACACTGGAATTATGCCTTCAACGGTAAACTTTGTTTTTTTTTAATCATTGCCTCACACTACAATCCTTTTTTAAAATAATATACTGATCCATAATAATTTTTAATAGATCACATAGATTTTTTTTCTTGCTGGTATATGCCTTTAATTAACACAGTGCATAGCAGCTAGCAGCTTTGTCTGTTTTTTGATCACATAACATTTTTTGCAAAGGGTGGCGAAACTAATTTATGGAGATGGATGTTCATGACAGCCTAGATTTTGATGTCATACAGAGGAAAAAAGTGATAAAAAAATGTTAAGGCAACTTTTAATCAATAGTAAAAAACTAAGGATGTTAGCACCAATTTTAAACATTTTTTGAATACTGCATTATGTGAAACATCTTGTCTCACAAAATACTATAAATTTATTAAATTTATGAAACTCATGATCACAAAAATGAACAAACTCCATTTTTAAGCTTTTATTTTAAATAAACAATTCCATTTGAAATAAATACATACAATCTACTATACAATTTCATTTATTTTCTTGCATAGGAGGACTTACACTTTGCTCACCTGCATCTAGAGCAGAGTTAATATACTCATATGCCTTACTTGCAGCATTACTGGTATGTGTAGGAAGATCAACCAAGAAACTAAATGTAGCCTTTACTCCATTATTCCAATAGTGCTTGAAAAGGTATGAAACTCTATCATTTGTGGGTAAAGGTGGTAGCTGCAACATTAAAATAACAGTTAAATTACTTTCTAATTTTCTAATACTAAATATTTCGCATAAAATCAATAGTCACCTCGTAAGGTATTTGTTTTTTAAGTTCTCCGACATAAGGAGAAACTCCTTTTTCGAGTTCATCGTACAATGCAGAAGTGGTAGCACTATCTTTCCAAACACCTTTATCAATAGTGTAATACACTGCTGAACCCAAAACCGCTGATTTTATCCCGAATCTAGAAACAATAATATTATTTGAGTTGGATATTTTCCGTTTTAACCAGGTAGGCTGTAGATATATACAATATTAAGGAAGTATAAAACCAGTTTCAAAAACTTACTTTATCATTTTTTTCGGTTAATTCGTCATAAAATTATAATATTATTTTGTATATTTACTTCAAAATTATGTAATTTTCGAAGTAACTTAACCTTAATTTTTGTTTAAACTGACATTGACAGATCAGTAAATTGTCAGGTTCACCAGTGCGCATAGTAAATTAATCTATGCGAGCCTGTCTACGATGCGAGCTAATGTAAAATGTGTATAGTTTTTGTGTTTTATAATATTCCTAGCTTACAACTGCGGCTTTGCCCACCTGGTATGTTGATAAAATGTAGCCTGTGCCTGTGCCAAATTTCATCCGATCAGATCCATCCTGCCGTTTTGGCGTGATTGAGTAACAGACATCCAAACATCGTAACTTTCACATTTATAAATGTGAAAGTTACGATGTTTGGATTGGATGTACTATTATAAATAATAGTAGCATAATTACGAATACATCTCCAAAATAAATACTATTTATTGATATTCTTTGAACAATATGAAAGTTCATGAATAGCTGTGATAGATTTATATTTCTTAATATACATGCTCCATTAGACGAGTAGAGTAGTCCTCTCTTAATTTTTTCGAAACATCTGTTATAAATGCTTTAGTAATGTTGACGGTTTAATCTGAAAATAAGCATGTTTCCGTAAACAGAGCATTTCATGTTTCACTAAAGAAAGCGTCATGGATTCTTTAATGAGCGAAAAGTAATTGAAATTCTAGAATTTTAGTCTAGTGGAATGTTATGAGTTTGTACCTTAAAGTATAGCATATCCTGTGATTTGGACGAGAGTACCTCAAAATTTTGCTTAAAAGACTAGTATCTAGGCCATAAACCCTAAAAAAAAAAATTCTCAAAATCTGAGTTGAGTGACAAGTGGCAGTAACTGACAACTGACAGAATGTCGAGTGTCGATATTCATAAACAAATCATAAAATCAGTACTTTAATATTTCAATAAGACGAATTATTTTCAAATCGAATTGTTAACGAACTCGGAAAATAACATACATTTCTTAAGCTTGTTAATTACATGATAAATATAAGACATCTATAATCAAAGGCTGGAAGCGTCTTGATAACTCAACACACTTTATTAATATATTTACAATACGATTTATTATTTTCTAAATTAATTCAGTGTTAAAATGATAGACACTTTTGTCCAAATAGAAGAGTGTATTAATAATTGCTTGATCAGTAAACTGTCTACACCGTATAATGAAAAAGATTTCCACTCTGAGTATCAAGTGAGAAATAACAAATTGGAACAAAATTTCCCTAAACTTTTAGACTTAATTGAAAATGTAGACTTTCGGCAACATCCGGAAATATGTTCTAGTACATTATATTCCCTTTTTATATTATATATGGAATTAAGAACAGATGGTCCATGGAATACAGAAAATTCTAAAGTTCAGGATTATCCAACAAAATTGAACTTGGCATTTGAAAAGAAATATAGTATAAAATTTGAAGATATTCTGCTAAAAGATGACTTCTACAAATCACAAGAGGTTTTTGATAAAAGTATTAAGGAATTGCATCAGAAGATGACATTGGATGACTTCAAGAAGTACCCTGGCCTTATTGAAGTTTACTATTTGATCATTAGTAATGTTGAGGTGAGATTGAAATACAAGAATGTTGATGTAAAATTGATCACATAAATATTTACCTTTCCATACTTACTTCTTATATTTTTAGAAATATAATGTCACTCTGAACCCAGTGACGGTAATGCCTATTGCCTTGCTCCTGGTAGAAGATTACATCACTTCCAATAAATTGAAAGGATTGGAATGTTGTTTATTAATACTGGAATGTTTGGTATGTTCTTGAAAAAATATATATTGAATGTCATGTTATTCCAATATTTTTTATGAAAGGTAGGCTTGATTGTGTATGTGTTTTCAGAATTTAAACAGTTTTACAACAGGAAATTACTATGAAGTTGTATACATGAGCCTAAAGAAGAATATGCATGAGAAAGATATTGATGTGACAAAGGCTCTGTTTAAATGCTATCCATGTTTCTTGCCCAAACTGCCTTTAGATGTGAAGGTAGGTGATACATTGAACAAAATGGAATGTCTTATACTTAAGATCGTTTTTATATTATAATAATATTGTTTTGTTTTAGAAAGCAAAGTTGGATGATGTCTATTCTGGGATCCTCGATCAATTGAACATGGAAACCAACTTACATAGGAAAGTCATTTGCTTCAACTTCACCACCAAAATGATTGAAATGCACCAAATACATTGTGCAAAGAAGAGAATTTATAAGGACATCATCCATGACAACTTAGATATGTGCACTACTAATGTAGCTGTTTATGACATACTATTTCAACCAGCTTTTGAGGTATAGATCTACTTTTTATATAAACATAAACTATTTTGGACTAATTTTAATGAGAGTTGCTTCTTACAGTGCCTGCTAACTTGGATAAGAAATTGTTGGTGCACCTGGAACTTAGTATCAGACCAGAAAATATTGGCTGTGTTGTTGAAAGTTCTCTATGTGACCAGAGATGAGAAGACAAAGCTACAAATCCAGAGTTTAATGATGACACTTATAAGTTTGTGCACTTTAGAAGAACAGCACATAATATACAAGAACTTGGACTCAGCACCCATTACATTGCACAGGGACATCATGTTGAGGATCAAAATACTAAAAGAAAGTATGAAAATTAATTAACATAACAGTATTTTATTCCAAAAATATAATTTTTTAATTGTACATCTTAGTAAAGTAAAATCTTCGGCTTACTAGTGATAGATGAAGGATAAATACTCAGAGGATAAAAATGAGATTTCATCCATTTTTAACACATACCATATGCATAAAATAACAGATATTATCTTAACCATATAGATATTTCTACTGAGTATTTATCAATTTTGAGCATTTATTGGGATGAAGTCCTAGTACACTAGTCCTTACATATAGAATATGATACTTTTCATCTTTAATAAAAACAATGTCATTTATCTTAAATGTCAGTTCATGGAATAAATGTATAAAAAGTATTTTTTACGTTTTTTAAATCTCACCTCAAATTAGTTTAAAAAAAATTATCAAATAAGATACTACTTATCTCAATACACTAGTGATGCACCATATTCTTTAAAATATTTTGTATTTATCACATTGTATTGCATTATTTATATAGAGTTTAACGAGAACAACTGTAAAAACTATTTAATCTGCACAGATTTCATCAATCATATTGCAGACTTCATCAATAGTGGGTCTTTGGTTTTTGAAATGTTGCAAGCACCTTTGAGCTACTATGAAAATATCTTGAGCTTTTGTCCAGTTAGAAACTGTCTTATCTACAAGTCTAGTAATATCATTGTCTTCACAGTTTTCTTCAACATAGCTTTTAATATTATTACTTTCACCATTCTCCACCACAATTGGTTTCAAACCAGTCAGCAGTTCAAGTAGGACTATGCCAAAACTAAAGATGTCATTTTTCTGTGTGACTGTACCAGAGAAGCCTTCGGGTGCCATGTAAGCTGAGGTTCCCATCATAGACTTGGTTGTGATAAATGTTGTTTCCAATTGTTTAGCCAAGCCAAAGTCACAAAGCTGAAAAATGTATCAGAATATTTAGTTATGTACATATTTGCTTGCATGACAAATTCAATAGTAAAAGAATTAAATGCTTACCTTTGGCACACAGTCTTTAGTTAGCAATATATTTGCACTTTTGACATCTCCATGAAGAAAGTAACTCTTCCTAGTGGATGCAGATCCTGATTGAGTTACACTGTCATCAAATTGTGGTGGTCTTTCACTGTGATGGATATACTTGAGACCTTCTGCTGTACCTTTTATTATATTCATTCTTTCATTCACATTTAGTTGCTTCTTTTCAATTTTTTCCAGGAGTGAACCACCATCAATGTATTCACAAACAATGCATGGTGTAATTCCATCTATAGAGTATCCAAAGATGGGAACAATGTTTTTGTGTCTTAGAAGAGACAGAGACTTAACCTCAGTGTTAAACACCTTCATGGCAACTTCACAGCTTATTTGGAAATGCATTCTCACTTTCTTTATAGCTAGGAGACCATGTACTCTGTGTCTACCAACAAATACCTCACCAAAACCACCACTACCTATTTTCAAATTTTCAGAAAAATTATTAGTTATATTTTCTAATTCACTGTAATCAAAGTGAACTAGATTTTTATCTGTTAATATAGCATTGTCTATGACACTGTATATATTGGGCACAGAGGATACATTCCCACCAACACTGTTTTGGGAATAACTACTTTGTGGAGAAGACATGGCTTGAGAAGAGTCAGGGTCAGTTGAGATTGTTGTAGCTGTTAATGAGGACATTGTTTTGGAGTCACCTTCATCTTTAGGAATCAAAGCACTGAAGTCTGGAAGCTCAGCTGAAGACATTACTTTAGAACTTGAAAATTTAATAAGATCTGACTCTTCTACTAATGCAGTACTTCTGTCACCACCTTCAAATTCTGTTTGTAGTACACTAAGATTGGGAATATCTTCACTTAGAATAGTTTCAGAAAACTTAATTAAATCACTTGGTTCTTTCAGCTGTCTTGTTGTGTGATTACAAATTGCTTGGTCATGATTAGAGTTTTGTGGATTTCCACTATCTACTGAAGCTGTAGTGTTTGCTGTTTGTTCACCACTTTGTTCACTTAGAAGTGCTGATATATTTGTTGTAATGGGAGCTGCTGGGCCATCACTGGGTCTGGGCAGAGGTGCCTCTGAAATTAATTTTAATGTTAGGTAACTTAGTTGTTGTTCAACATACAGATGAATAAAAAAAGAATATTTACCGCCTAGCATGAGCGATATCTCATCAACAGCTCTAAATATTTCAGCCTTGTACAAGATCATCATGAGAGTTTCTAAAGTTGGTCTAACCCTCCCAGAGGTGCCCCATTCATCAAACAAAACCTCAGCAAACTTTGTGTTTGTCTCCTCGGCATGTTTTTCCATCAATCTATTGAAAGTAAAGAGGTTATTAATAGCTTAAGTTTCTACTTGCAACATTAACGAACCCAACTACTTACTTACCTCATATGTTCATAGTTATATTTACGCTCAAAATGATCAGCCGTTAAGTCTTTTGGTATAAGTGGCACAACTTTTTGCCAGTCTTTATTAATTTCCAAAATAGTGGCTAAGTTATACAAGGAGGCTGCAGGTAACTTCCGCAATTCCATATTGCGTTGCATTTTGGACGAGTTCACCATGATTAGTCTTATTATTTATACCTATATTATATTTTTTTATTCACTATGCCTGCTGTAAAAATTTTGTTCTTCACTTGGGCTTTCCCAATGTTTTGAACGTTGACGTTACGAAACATAGAACTTCGAAAGTTATCTATCAATACTACCTAATACCTAATATTTCTTTGGGTAGAGTCAAAAAGTACAATAAAGGGGATAGTGTAGTAGTGTAATGCAAAGAATGAAAAAAATGAAGAATAAAAAAAATGCGTAAATCTTAAAATAAAGTTCTTGGTAATTGGTAAACACAATTTGGTAAATTTTGGTGATTGGTAAGTGCATTGACATAGGAAATATATGGACTTGAAATACCTACGAAACAAAGGTGCATACCTACAATCCAAAATGTCGCATAAGATGGCTGCCGTTGCTAGGGTTGTGCCGACTAAGTATTTAACGAGTATCGATACAATTTTAGTATAAGTTCTACGTAGGTATAGTTTTAGGGATTAGCCAGCTGGTTAACGGTATTTTTTATGGGAAATCATCTAATGTCATCTCCGGCCCTTTTCGTGACAGACCGTTACTGACTAAAATCAACTCCTGTTCCTACTTTGCCGTCGGCCTAGCTAGAGCCCGGAACCCGGGGTTACCTTGGTCTCTTGATTGGCTAAAGATTTTCTCAAGTCCAATTTGTATTCACATAATTCTACGTAAAGCGTCTTTTAAAAAAATAGGACTGTGTTTATGAATAGCGTTTAATGGAATGGTGAAATAGAAAAAGATAGTGTTTGTTAAATGTTTATCTTTATATATGTGTGTATTTTCCTGTGGGTGTGGGTGTGAGGTGGTGAAGTGCAGGTGTGAAGTGCTCGCGCACAATTTCGGCGCGTCTGATTAAGCGATGATATCTTCGAAACTACGTTAGCACAAAATAGATATGTAGTGAAGTCAATCTTGTTGTATGTATCCATCGATCACTAATAAAGAACTTTTAACTTTTCTTTTAACTTTTCGTTCTTTATTAGTGATCGATGTATGTATCTCACTTTTTATTATTACGCTTGGTGGTCGCACTGGGATCGTCGCCAACGCCGCTCTGTCAATCGCGCCCGTATAATTTTAAAACATGATAATTTGAACTTCTACTTATGTAACTAAAACCAATACCAAAATACTGACGTCTTACTTTAGCGTTACACAAAACTGCAGAAACATCCATTGTTAAAATAGATTATTTAGTATAATATATGTTGAATTTTAAATGGGAGATTATATCGATACTTTTGTGAAATGGTACGTAACTATGCCATATTGACATATTATTGTAAACAACATTTTTTTACTAAAACTGTCTCACAGACAGAAATAAAAGTAAATATATATACTTTGGCAATAGATTAAAGTATCCGTGACATTTTTTTCTATCTATGTGGATTATTCTAAGTAATATTTGATGAAAACTGTTTACTAACCTATACAAAGACAATTGAGGTTGATTTTCGTTCTTTTTTGCACCACACTGCACAATACAACACACAGGCATATTGTTTTTTTGTTTCACTATATATATTTGAAGTTTAAAAAAAATGGTTCTTTGTAATTTACTGAAAAACCGCAATAATTTAAAACATAAACAACCGTTTGACAGGACAACTACCATGAAACTCAGGTACACTGAGCGCTTAAGATGGCGGACATGGCACTTACCTACAACTTTTCTAATGTCAAAGTGATTTGTTGCCGTATTAAGCAACAACATAAATATTGTTGTCCCTTTTGTCTAATACAATTATTGCCTTAGAAAGAGTGAGAAAAAATGATATTTCTTAGTTTGTTTCATATTTCACTCATATTTGTATAAGCATGTATACTTCTATAATAACACGGCGCCTCTATATATTTTCTATCTCAATGGGTAAGTGTAGGGCTTAGTTAGTGACACTCCTGACAGTGACACACAGAGTACATTTTAGCAATAGGAAACAGTGACAGTAAATACTGGCTGTCAAATATGATATCATCACCGCCGAGTGTTTTAGGAATGCTGTAATATTCATATAGGTAGATTTTTTTTGTGAGGGGAAAATCAAATGACTTCTCCCTCTTCAGGCGGGAGTGAGTGTCAGACTCTTGCTGACTAAAAACCCCCCTGTTCCTTCTCCTGCTCTGGGCCGAGGTTGCGGTGCCTCATTGCGCTTACCCCGCAACCCCGGCTGATATAGAGGTAGATATTGGTAAAGCAACTAAAAATCATGTTTTATAAAACAAACAAAAATACTAATTCATCATTTTTCTTAAAAGGTTTGAAGTCATCTACAATATTTAGTTTTTGAATTCCATTTAATACCACGGACAGCTTGACAAAGAGAGTGGAAAAATTGCGATCGCTACCAAATTTTTATATATGGCCACCCGAAATACTGTGAGCTTGAGCTTACCAAAACTTTAAACGTAGTGCTTATATTTTACAGATTTTTTTCGAAGGTGTAATACTTTGCTATGTTTCGATTGGTATAAGAGATTAGCAGAGTAAAAGTCTTCATTTTCATCGCAAACATTGGTTTTTTATCTCTGGAACTGCCTCGCAATTTCTATAAAGTTTTATTTTTTAAAAAAAAGAAAACACACACTAGTATTTTCTCCTGTGTGTGGGTGCGTTTACTAACATACAATTTGACATAGGTACACATAACACACAGACCCAGAAAAAAATTGTCGGACACACAGCCCAGCCAACCGTGTCAAGTCGTATTTCGTGTTAGATGATAATATATAAACGAAAGTAGCTTGCGCAATAAGTTGCCAGCCAGCAAAAACAATTATCGGCCAATTTAAAGGTAAAAGCGAAAAAACAATAAAGCTTTGTAAATAATATTTATCAACGTATTTTATTTTTAAATAACATAATTTGTAGTACCTATTTCAAATTAATACATTTAATAAAAATATTCAGACGGATCATTTATTATCACTAATTTCGTTATATTCAATTCACCATTGCGTAATATAACATTTCAAAAATCAAAACTTTCTTTTGTGAAAATAGGCGGTAAATGAGTGACAATATCTTGTATTTGTGTGAGTTTGTGTTGTGCAGCTATACGTCGCCAGAGGACTGGACACTCGGTGTTTTCGCATTCCGAAGATTGACTATGACCACTACATGAACCGCAAATCTAAAACCAGAAAAGAAGCATAAATTGACACCAAAATAAAATAATTTTAAATTGATAAGCAGCTTTTTCTATGCTTGTTGTTTTTTTTAATGGGACAAGCCCGCCGCATTCTTCTAAAACCGCTGCAACTCCTGTTAGCCAGGATCTACTCCTGTAAGTGGATAAAACCATGAAAACACCGGTACACTGAAGTCCGGTGAGTCTCAGGGACACGAATGACTGTCTTGGAAGATGCTTGTAGTATATTTAAAAGATGTTTTTAGAAGGAAATGGTAATGAAACGTACAGCCTGGCAGGAATGCAGATGGTGCGTGGCCCGCGCGAGACGGTCCGCCAATACGGCGGCGGAGCGCTGCGCGGCGCTGGGCGCGGCGCACTGCTCACACAGCGCCGCGCGGGCGCTTCGCCCGGCGCACACCGCGCACCGCGAGCGCCACATGTACCGCGCTATGCCACCCGCGCGACTTGGCTCGTTCTGCTGCACTTCCCGGGTGTATCCGATTTCACTCCACCTTATATAACATTTCATTTTTGAGCTCAATAAGTGTTAGTAAGGTCAATAGGTGTTGGAAACGAGTAAAAACTAATCCGTTTATGTCATCCCCAATATCCAAATACCCAAAAGGCCGACTACGCTCCTGTAAATTTTCTACCGTGACATGTCGAGGGGCGGCGCTGATTGCATATCACTCGCAGGTGATCTGTCTACTGGTTTGGCGAATTATGTATAAAAAACTACAATTAATCCTCTGATAATAAATATCTGCCCACACTAGCTTACCATTTGAAGACATCTACACCAAGTAGAGAGAGGCAGCGATGTAGCGGCGGTAATAGGACCCTGGCTGCGTAATACGCCTTGTGTGGCTGTAGCGCAGGGTCCCGAGTGAGCTCAGCTGGAGTGCGAGCCAGGCGTACCAGGGCGGCGCCCGGCGCCCCCGCCGTCACCTGCCACGCCACGCGCCAACCGGTGCGAGGCGCTGCTCGACGGTCGTGAGATACTAAACGTCTACAAGTTTAAGTAAAGTAAAAAAAAGTAAATCAGAAAACTATACGTATTAAAAAAAATACTGCCACGACCAAACGACACAGAAAAATCGCCTTTATTGCAGTAAGAGAACTTACTTGGCAATCTCATTAGGTGGTGCAGAGGCACCGGGTCTATACCCAGCAGGCCCGTGGTACTCTCGCGTGAAGAACAGCTCCTGTGGTGGCAGGGAACCGTCTGCCAGTCGCGATAATGTCGCCATGACCGAGCGCTTCACTCGCGACATATCACCGGTTTCGAATAACTCACACAAGGCTTGCTGAAGAAGCTGTAAGTTAAAAAAAGGTTTAAGGGTAAGATCTCATTTACGATAATCGAACGTTGTTAAGGAGGTAGGAAAAAGATATTATTCATTCTTCTTTAGAAATAAAATATTGTTAATTAATATCCGTATCGATTACAATCCAAAATTATTGTATATGTGTAACAGTTTTAGTTATAGTTTTAATTCGATTCCAGATTTGACATTAGCTACTGTCATTTTGTGAAATAACGATACCACATACAATAGAGAAGTTACGAACACAAAAATCGATAAACAATGTGTGCCATCAGTGTCCCAATTAAAGACTAAATTACTGATTTTTATTAAAAAAAAATTAATATTAAAAATAATTATTATTTATTCATTAGTAATCGCTGCCTCTTTTGTTAGTTTTTGGCCCATCGGCGCGGCACTTCCAGTGCGCAAATCATGTTCACTTTTAATTTCTTTTTTTCATTGTAAATTATTATAAAGTTTTTATGGTATTTAAAACATATGCTTACTTTGACACCAGCTGGACATCCGTCCCTCCTGACAGTCTCAATTCCTTTAGCTTCGTACACTGGCTTCTCCTGGTCAGGACTCTCGTACATGTAGCCAACGTACCGCTTCTTAGTTTGCAGAATACATGGTTGGTATACCTGTCGTGTTACATAGAACTATCATAATTTTTAGGTAGATAACCGTTAATACTTCCGACTGCGACATTGACCGCGTGGTATGTTGATAAAAGGTCCAATAGTTTTGCGTGGTATAATAAAAAATATACATCCATTAATTCTGACAAAGTTTGGCATTTATAGTAATTAGTAGGATTTGAATAATATAATCAGCGAGATTTGGCTAGGTCACTAACGTGCCCCCAGATAAAAAATATTTTCTTTTATTTAGTTTAGAATTTGAGGCAAATACCTGTGTTGGGATAGGTGGTCCCTACTGTAGGGATCTATCTATTAGTTAGTAGAGACCCTACTAACTTTTTATAAAATAAATAAAAATAACCGTTCCACTAATTAATTAACTTCAGCGAGATGTATGTAGCTTATTAAGCTTCATGGGTTTGTTTTATCTGTGTGATGTGACGCGTTCATAACGCGGTGAATATTGGATGATTGTGTACGATTATGAAAAAAAAAACAGGAAGATATGTAGTAAAAAAAGATTATGTCTAACTAACGAAACCAGCATGACACTTACATAATTATAATGCCAAGAAAAAACATCTGGAAATATGCATGTGTTAAGCTAGCGGTTGTCATGCAAAAATCATCTTTATATTGGACGACTGTGTACGATTATGAAAAATAAAACAGGAAGATATGTAGTAAAAAAAGATTATGTCTAACCAAACCAGCGATTGCACTTACATAATTATAATGCCAAGAAAAAAAATCTGGAAATATGCATATGTTAAGCTAGCGGTTGTCATGCAAAAAACATCTTAATAATCTAAGTTACCTTTTCAAGTTTAAGTGCAACCGGTGAAGGATTATCGGCTGTGACGGCGTCAGCGATCTGTTGCCCAATCTCAAATGCTTCAGCGCGCGTCCCACCCGGTACTAATACAAACATAGAGTCTGTGTCGCCGTAGATTACCTGTATTTTATAAACAAAAAATGAGCAGTTTGTTCACTACTGACATGGTTAACAATCAATCCCGCAACACAAGAGAAGACACGTGCTTTACTGGCCTTCGAGAGGATTTGGAGAGCAAAAAAACACAGCGTGCTAGGTTTCTGTGAGGCAAGCCGGCCCATTCACGAAACATAGACAATCACCTCATAGACGACCCTAAAATTTGAACACACGCACCCCTTTGCAACCTATCGCTCTAGGCATTGGTCTAGTTGGGCTTAGCAGTTGATGCCATCGTTACAATTTAGGAAAGGCTTTTTTTGTCAGGGATAAATCACCCGAACAGGGTGAGGCGAAAGAGACTGTAAAACTCTTACTGACTAAAAAGCCCCATTCCTTCTCCAGCTTAAGGCCAAGGCCGCGGTGCCTCATTGCGCTTAGCCCTGTAGGGCCCGTCTGTAGAATTGACGAAATCCTCAAAATAGATTCAAAAGCTGATAAATACATGTGGCAATTATTGTACTACAAGTGGTAATAATAATTACAGAATACCGCAGGTATCACCGGAATCTCATGACAGCTTACTGCTGCTAATACTGCTACTAGCAGGTATCTGTAAGAGGGGTTTGCCATTTCCGCTTGGTAGCTGGGTATGGGATCGCAATTTTAAAAAGTGTACGTTTATCAAAAATCACTGTTATGATACTATATAGGCAAGAGAAGGAATTGTGCAAATGTGTTTTCTTCTGGCACACCACAAATATTACATTTTTTTAAACCATCCCCATACTAAGATTTTCTTCTGTGTCGTGGGTACAAACATACAATTTCACATAGACATCACACCCAGACCCAGAACAATTTGCGGATCACACAAATTTGTTCCATGCGTAAAATCGAAACAGCGACAAGTTGCGCGGCAGCCAGTTGCCCAGCCACTGTGACAATCGTGTAGTAATTTGCAGTAATAGTCGTTTATTTTCTAGGTACCTTGGCGTTCCACTGTGTGCTATCTCGTACCATCTTGATGGCACGTTCCAATGTCTCGCGTCCCTTGGAGACCACACTGTCACCGACCTCTACGCACGGCATACGGCCACTGAAGTTCGCTGCTGTGTACCCGTACGTTACGTTTGCTATTAACTTTAAGCCTGGAAGAAAGAGAAATATTACGTACTTACAAGTATAACTTAAGGTCGCCCTAGTATCCTTACTGTCCGTAAATGTTTGTATACTTCAAACTATTAATTATAAGTGTGGGAGAGCCATGCTTAGTGTAGAAGAGCCATACTTTGGCACAAACAGGCCTGTGACACCGAATTAATAACATAACCTCAATGAGCCAGACGTGAAACAATACTTGCTTTGTGTTACATCGTTTCAAGTTCCTATCTATCTCAATATTGAATGAAGTAAGAAGTCACAGCGCAACTGTTCGTTGGCCAAGGAACAGGGAGTTTTTATTAATCAGCAAGTCTGCCCTATGACGGAAAAGTAATATAACTATGATGATTTTCCCTCACAAAAAAATTTTCGTCAGATCTATCATATCCACTAGGTGTTCTGAAGTTTCTATATAAAGTTGATCAATGTGGATAATACATATGTTGGCGGGTTTAGTATTGAAAATAAAAACACTAGAATTTAGATTTTTTTTAACAACTGGAATAAACTTTGATTTACAATCCATACCTAGTTGTCTGGAATGCATAGCTTTTTTCACAGCGTCGTCAGTTTGTACTTTCATATTCTTCTTGACTGCTTGTCGTGCCGCTAAGATTCTTCTCAGTAAAGCAGGGAGTACACCGCGACGTACCGACGATTTTACAAAGCCAACGCCAACCGGCGACCAGTGAACTAAACCTTTTTTGACCAACGCTTCCAATTTAGCTTTAGGTATTTTCAGACGCCATGCTCCAAATTCATAATCTGATTCTCTGTATTGAGATTAATGTAAAGCAAGGAGATTAATTTTGTAGTAGACAACAATAACAAACTAATGTCACTTTTGGAGGACAAGGAAGTAAACGTACCCGTTGATATTTTGGACTCGCCCAATACACGTCGAAAAACAGTAGTTGTAGGCAATCATCATTGATGGATACAGACTTTGGAAGTCCAGTACTATGAGGGGGTCCGTGTAGAAGCGAGATTCTGTACCAAATAAAATTTGATTAAAGGGACCGTTTCTAAGTTAAGAATCCTCCTGTAACACCTTTTTACCTGGTTCAAATATAAGTGGAAGACATTCAGGTGCCCTCATAGCAGCTCGTTGCTTCACAGTTGGTGATAGAGCCACCAAGTTTAGAGGCCTCGCAGCTCGCAACATGAGAGACTCGACGCGAAACTGAGAGCCTCGGGACAGCACCTCCCACCACTGAAGACCGAATAGTCGAGCTAGTTCCGATGTGCGATCTGACCGAACGATAAATAATTTACCAATATTTTTACAAATTGACAACAATCATGCTGGTAACATATCAATTAGAAAGGCAATACTTACTTATAATATCAAGTTTTTCCAACATCCTCACAGTTCCTGACAACCTGGTCAGGTAGTGTTCTACGGGAATCCACCTTAGCAGACGAGTCTCATCGCGCCACCACTTCCCCAGTTGAGCATAGCTGTAAGTTGGCACTCTCTCCTTCAACACCTCATACATACAGTTCTCAAAACTGTAGCTTGATAGTGCCATCTCATGTCGGAATAAACGCCACACATTCAACATTATTCGTCCAATAATTCTTCCTTCAAAATCGTTTTCTTCGCCTCTCCAGCGTTTTTGTCGGTACTTCTCTGTTATTCTTGAAACTTCTTTCACTATTTCTAGGCCTAAAACTTGAGCCCTCTCTAAGATATATCCCCATGAACCCATTTCTATTTCATACCCGCACAATATGTCGGGATCGTGTATCATTACAAGTTCCAGCACCTTTTCTAAAAGAACACTCTCATTGTCAACATATGTGACGTCTGCGTTGAAAATACATCTATCTAAATATCTCACAGGTGAACTTTTTTCGACAACTACAATTTGTGTAAGGCTTTTCTGCAGCCGATGATCTGGCGGGCAGTCATTAGTTACTGTTACTAATAACATCTCTATAGGGTCTATAGCAGGATCAGGATTTAAGTCTCCACGAACTGATGTATGAACTTCGGCTACCATGACGGTAAGAAAATTTACCTTAACAAAAAATGAATTTAAATTTATGTTATTAAACTTAATACATTACTGTATTATTTCAGTACTTACATCTACTGTAGGGGCTTCAATGGAACTGCTATCAGCCTTAACATCGTGACTACCAAAGCATAGAAACGATCCATCCGGTTGCATCGTTACTTGAAGGCTATTGTTCAAGTTAGACTTTTCCTGTAAATTAATTTCGAAATAAGTAAGCAGTTGATCAATACAATGAATAACAATGGCTAATAAAAAATTGTAACCAACCTTTTCGTCACTTTCCAAAGTTAAGGTGTTATCAAGTTCATTGAGGCCTAGCGCTTGCGAATTTTCCAGTTCATCAATATTTTTACCAAAATCGTCATCAACCGTGGCTTCTTCTTTCACTACATTGGCTTTATTTAACAACCATTGTTTAATTTCGTTGCCACTTGGTGGTTTCCTAACAGGCTCTAAAATACATTTCCTATTCCCTGCAAGCAAGATTTTTAAAGCATCTGGCTTTGACGACTCTTGCGACATCTCATGTGTTTGAAGGAAAAGTAAATGTCGCCATTCTTCTATACTCGTCATATCCAACACTTTCTCAAAAGGTTTTTGATCCCTTGATAGCTTACTATTAACTTTCAACAACATTTGGCCTATTTCTACTTTGTCGCCTACATCTTTGTGATCTGAGTAATATGGCTCTGGGTTTTTTACTTTTGGTATATTATAATGTTGTAAACTTGAGCACACGTAACTTTTCGTTGGTGGTTTTATTTTCGGCGTTAATATTATTGATTTTTCATTTCTAAGTACAGCAACATTAGGTTCAGTTTTGATGTTTAATTTTTCTTCTTGCGATTCATTACTTTTAATTTGTACATTACAATCGTGATTTTCAGTATTTGCGTCGTTATTGTCTACCATTGATAATAATTGAGATTTATTTATTTCATTATCATAATTTTCTAGAGATAAATCAAATATTTTAGACACATCATAGAAACTTCTTATTCCTAGTTTATTGGGTTCAGGTGAAGAATCTATTTCATTATCGCTGTTGAAGGTTACATTAAAAGATTTACTAACTTTAATATTCGAAGGTCCCGCTATTGGTTCATAATTATTTTCTATATCATAAAGTTCTGCTGGAGCTGGCTGCAAAGGTTTTTGATTCACTGTTATTTTATTTACTAAATCTACGATTGATTCATTATCTACTTTGCAATTAGCTACATCACCTTCATTCATATTTATAGAATTATTTAAAATACTTTCTTGTTCAGTTTTTACAACTCTTCTCAGATGTGCATCAGAAATATCTTCTATAGTTTCTCTTGAAACATTAATTTCATCCATTTGACTTAGATCTACATTAGACCCTGATCTACTATCTGATTCACTTTCATCTTTCCTTTTAGCTTTAGGTCTTGACAAGCCTAATTTAAAAGGTCTCATTTTTCTTTTCCTTACTTTCTTCGTATCTACAAATGACAGTTCAATATTTATAAATATAACATATACATGAGAATTTAGGATTTTATTACATATTCACAGACATTTTACTTACGCTCATCATCACATGTTCCATCTAGTTGTGGTATATTAGCACCTTCCCAAAAAGAATCATTCCACGAGGGAGAGCTTTCGTCTTCATCGTTTTCACTGAAAAAAAAAAATTACCCAAAATATTAAATTGCACACAATACAACTATAAAAACGTTATAAAATGTGGGTCTACCATTCTCCTTCATTTAAAATTAAAGTTTCTTCATCAAATATTCGAGAGTATTCAGCATCATCTAAATCAACATCAGCATCTTGCTCAACATTAGCTGGTGTTCCCATCACACTATCTTCTTCTATTGGTTTCTCATCCATATCTTGTAATAAGTCTACTAGTTCCAAATCTTCATTGTTTACTACAAGGGATAATAATATTGGGTTATTATAACTATTTAAAGAAGTTATTCTAAAATTTAGCTTTTAATTTGATTACTTACAAAAAACTTGACTATAGTGTAAAGACAAGCTACTGTTCAAAGCTAGGCTTTCATTCACTAGTGTATTTTCTAGATCTTCCTCAGTGTCGTTAAAATCTCCTCTCAATGTTTGATTGAAACCAGAAGCCTCTGTTTTATCTGGCAAATGAACACTTACATCTACTGCATTAAACAACTGTGTTCCTTCCATACTTTCAGCTGGATATTGAGGAACCTCCTTTTTAACTTCGTTTTCTATTGCTACTGGTTTGTCTATCAAATTAGACATTTTTATTAAAAATATTTGTTCGAATTTATAATGTGAATCAGTCTCTTCTGCTTTTATTCTGCCTTGAGACAGAGATTTTGAGGCTAGAGAGATATTTAGTTGTTTCCTTCTTTCTGACTCTTGGTTCCAAACTTCTTCTAAGCCAGGGTTCTCTATGCCATCTCCTTTGCCAATTCTTTGTCTGTTTATAATGTGTGAGGCTGCACAATCTGCTTCAAAATAGCAAGAACTTTCAGGTTTAAGTCCAACATCATCAGAGCTTTGCGCTTCATTACTGTTTTGTGGTATTCCTGCCTTACGAAATTTAACACACTGTAAGTCTATATTGCTCATACCGAAAAGGTTGAAGTCTATAAAGAACTGCAGTGTGAAATTCAAATGAGATTCATGAGGTTGGAACGATTGGCCCAGAATGGCTCCATTACTGCATAGTTCCACAGCTTGTTTGATTAAACCCGGACTGTATAAAAATACTTTTAGATACAGATGTTCTTTATCATGGTATCCATAGAAGGGCCTATAAAATAAACAATGTTGTAATAATATATCAATATAAAATAAAATAAGCCTAAATATTTTTTTTCACACTCACAGGCCTTTAACTAGAGATATCTTATACACATGCTGGTTGGTAGAAGTTGCTTGTTTCAGTGCAATATTTAGTGCTTTGTCCAGACTAGCCGCAATCTGTAATTATAAAAAAAGTTAATTTATTTAATCCACTTCTTGGACATATATAATAAAGTGGTCAATATAAGTACTTATTTAAGATAAAAAAAAACTGTCACATTTCCCTAAGGCTACCCACTGACCCAGATCTGTCCACAATAAGTAAAAAAAAATATAATTCAGATTTTTCTTACCTGGTATAAAAATTGTGGCTGTGGATTTGGTGTTGGGCATGGTATGTAGAAGTATGGAAACACTCCATGAATGTGAAGACATGCTTTATGACCATCTGGTGTTGGGCCAAATATTCTTAAAACTGGAACCTGGAAAAACATTTTAAATAAAAAATTTGGTATCTAAAATTGTAAGTAATAAGAATAAATGTAGTTACCTGTTTTATATCAGCTCCTCGGAAATCTGAATAAATAACGTCTATTCCAGGTATCGGCTTACTCAAATAATGGTCGCAGACTACAATTCTAACAGAAAACTCTGGGTTTATACGACTACTATCTGAAATTTAAAATACTTTAATAATATTTTGAATATCATTATTTGAAATTGTAGTATATATGAAAGTAGAAAACTTTTTTACTTACTATCTAAAGCGCTTATAATGCTCATATTGAAATGGTAATATACATACTTAATTTAATAACAAATTAACAAAGTTTTCACAATTCATAAAATGATATCATGTTGAAACTTGTTCAAAAAATCGTGTATTGAATTTTTGTTTACAATTTTTGACATACGTCGTAGCAATGGCAGTGACATTTTTCTTCAATGTCACTTTTGGTCACCGTTGAGTGATGCGCGCTTACTAAGTTACTATTGGCCGCAATAAAAAGGTAAGAAGTAGAAGTAGACAATAAACTACCCCGTTACTTTTATTTTGTTTTATTCTTTATTCCAAGCTTATCGACACAGTCAGTGGATCAGGTCTAGTGTGGTTTTAGATAGCAATTTAGAAATTATATAGATATTAAGTAACTGATAATTCACTCATCATTACTTATCTGTGTACATACTAAATTCATTCGCGTAGATTCATTCCGTTGCTGCTGTCAGTCAGCAACTGTAACTGTTAGTTTTCTTCTGTCATTCGCTCATTACAAACAAACGTAGTGGTTACATACTCTTTGATTACAAATCAGTCGTGTTTTTAATACGTTCACAATTTCGTTGCGTTGCGTGCTACTTTAAAATATTTTCAATAATAATCGTCTTCGTTAAATCCTATCTGCAGTGTCGGTGTGGTGAACATAATCTCTAGTGTTGTGAAAAAGACGGTGTTTTGTTTATTACTCTTGATAACATGTAATGTTTTTTGAAAATGAAGTGCTATTTCAATGGTAGGTTCAGCAAAGGAACACCAATATTTGTCAAAAGATAAGAAGTTTGCAAAAACGGTACAATGGATGATGATGAGGCAGACTTGCGCGAGCAGATATTCCACAATAATGTTAGGGAGCAAATTGTAAGTACCGAAACAAAGGCTATTATGTTGTCTTGTCTAAGCTATAACATGTTCGCCGTAGCTTTGTCCCAATTCGTAAAGATGTATTCAAATTTATTGTTCATCTTGCTAGGAAGTAAATATTTGAGTTGTACAAGATATTGGCATATTTTTTTTCAAAGCCTATTAATACTTATTGTTAAATTTGGGTCACTTAGACCTTTGCTTATTCTAGGACGACCCTTGGGCTTAAAGAGTAGAAAAGTCCTGCGTGTTTTATGCCTATGATACATTTTTATTAATATGAAATTTAAACTGGTCAGTGGATTGAGGTTGGTCATACAAATATGATAACTTTATAGCACTATACACATAATAACATAAAACAAATCTCAGAAATATTCTTTTTTATTTAAATTTGTCAAATATTTATTAGGGGACATTTTTCAGAAAGCTGTAGCTTTTTACTAATAGTTGAACATTGCCAAATCTTTTTGTAATTGAAGATAAACCATCCTTGTTCCTTTATTAATTTTATTTTGTTTAGGTAACTGAATATTGTATAATAAATATTTAAATGGTACTATTATAGGTTCTATGGATGCAGCTAAAAAGATGATAAACATCTTTTTTACATGTTTGTAAACTAAAAAAGTAATAATTAATTGTTTCTGTTAAGGTATTGAAAGAGATTACAGTTATTAGACAAGTCCTAGGCTAAAATGTTTCTAAACATCTCAAAAATATTTTGTTAAATAGGTACTACTAAAATTTCTTTAACTATTCTACATTTATTACCAGTAACGGTGATAATCATTCAAATTGTATAGTTTTAAAGTGATAGTTTCTTATGTACTGGTTATAGTTAATACTCATCAGTTACTAACATCAATGCAATGACAAAACAAAGAAAAGCAATTTAGAAAATTCTCATTATAAAACACTTCTGCCTACCTCTATAGGAGTTTTATTATACCTATTAATGTTTAATGTATTTAACAATAGTAATTTAGTCAAGATATTAGTCATTGACTGACAGTTTGACATTAATGTACCAATGGAGTACTTAATATCAGAAATTTTAAAGTATTTGGCACACACAATACCAGCTGTATGAAATAACAATTCATTTCAAGATGGTTTGTTTATTTTTAATTCCACTGAGCGGCTAAAAAGCTTGAGGTATTATTTGTATACTCCTTAATGTTTTAATATGCTTAAAGATTCTCATAAAATAAAACAAATACTAAGTATTTAGCTAAGTTTAATTGATCAGATGTCTAGTACATTGGGTGATCAGTGCCGGATTAAGCCAGCGCGGGGCCTGTAGCAAATTCTGTCAAGGGGCCCTTGGTGTGCTAACGGTTCTCAAAAGGGTATTAAATAAAACAAAACTGTTACAAATTTAGCGATTACACTTTCAATTTCTAATTCATTTCAACGTTGAAAAAGAACGTTCGCCACTGCAGTTAGTGATCATGAGAGATAAGTAAATACGCAAGGCAATTTATAAATTTGGGCAACACGATTCTAAAGAATTATTTAATAAAAGTTTATAAAATTGCAGTTCCAGAGGCTCCTGTTTCTTGCTGTTAATTACAGTAGCCACATCTGTTTTCAGCAGCTCTGCGAACTGCACTAATTCGCCGTTCTCCAAATCATCTTCGTAAGCACTGAACATCTTTGACGATTTTTTCAAAATCTCTTCTGTTGCACGAGATTTTATCAGTCGAAATACTTCAAAAACACTAGTAATTTTATGATATGCTTTCATACGTTTAGTTATAGCAGACAGTACGTTATCAATTATGACAACAAACACCTCAAATTCGAAACGTTGTCCAGGTGTTTGATTTTCAACATAGTCGTCGAGTATATTAGAGCCGCTGAAATGGTCGTACTTTGTATTTTGCTTGATTCGTCGTGATGTCTGTTGCTGGTATTCTTCACAGTTAGTCAAATCTTTGGCTCTTGCCTCTAATATCTGAAAATTAAATTAGGATCGCATTGCTTGGACGTAGCCATATAATGATTCATAAATGGCGTATCCCGTATTAAGGTCTTGATCAGACGATTGTGAAATAAATATTTTTTTACAAAAATATTGCGACTTTAAAAAGTAAGCTAAAAAGCAAAAAATAGTTTTTCTTTGTAGAAATTAATACAATGTTTTCACTTAGTTAAATAGAAAATAATATTAATAAGTAACACTTAGTTAAATAGAAAATAATAGTCAGTGTTCAGTGCTGTAAATCGCTGAGGAATTCCCTCGACTGTCAATGGTCTCCATCATCATTTAGGTATACTGCAGACCTTCAATATACTTACGTAATCCGTATAGGTGTAAAGTTCTCATCCATATAAATGAATTAAATCCAAGCACAACATAATTACTCCAAATAGTCAAAGAGATCTTACGACAGTCTTCCTGCTCCATCATCAGATTTACTCCATAACTTCATTGTAACCCATATAGGTGCGAAGTTTTAATCGATATAAATGAATTAAGTCCAAACACGAGGTAGTTACTGTGAACCGTTCAGGAGTTCCCTAAGCTGTCCTTCGTTCTCGTCATCAGACCCCTAATGGCAGTCACGACCAATCTTGGTGCAAAGTGCTCACCAATAAGAATCATTCAAGCCCAAACACAAGATAACTACGTCAAATAATCAAAGAGATCCTTCAACTGTCTTCCGGCTCCATCATCAGGTCAAGTTCGACTATCGGCAAGCTATAGCACTACTCGCCGCTACAATTTTCGAAAGTTCCCCTCGGTTTCCCTAGGATTCCATCATCAGATCCCGACCTCATGAAAATGGGACCCTCTGGGGAGTATAACCTATCAAACAAAACAAGAATTTTGGAAATTGGTTTATAAATGGCGGAGTAATCGGTGAATATACAAAAAAAACAATCAGTCGAACATAGTTGAATGAATTGCACACAGCGCTACGTCAATCACGAAAACAGTACTTGAAGTAATGTCAAGAAAACTTTTCTCACAAACAGTTCACATTTAAAGTGCTTAGTAGTTTTTTATATTGAGTCAAAGGAAAGTGTATATCCATTTCTTATTGTTTGATAGTCAATAGAATCCTAGTTTATTTGTTCGAGTTACGGCTAGCTCGATCGATGACAATATCAGGGAATTCCCCAAATAGTTTTGCAGTGTTGCCAACTTGTGTTTAGTGCAGTGCAAGTAGTACAACACATAACTTGTGTGTGGTTAGCGCTCAATTTAAAATATGTGGTACAATTTCAAATTATTGTTGTTCATTTTGATACCAACGTTTTTCGTGATAGATATTATACCTAGAGGTGAGGCGGAAATAGCCGTGCGCGCAGTTCGCGTCGGCTCGGTTCGCCCGCCAATGGCACCAACCGAGCGGACAAATACTCGCTTTCCTTTTCTTACACATACAAAATACCGCCTATTTGTCTTTTTTCGTTTATTTCGTTAAGAAAAAAATCAAATTACTTGAAGTTTGGTAGTAGTTTTGTAAACAAAACATTTTCTATGTAGGTCTTGCTGTTGAAGTGGTGTAATTACGAAATACCTATTTGAGCGCGGGGCCCTCCAGTCCGCGGGGCCCGTAGCATTTGCTACTCTTGCTACGTGGGTAATCCGGCACTGTGGGTGATGATCCTATGATTATAAAGACAAAACATTTGACAACCTTCTACTGTGGCCTGTAATGTGAATTAAATAAATAAACATGTTTCTTTGTTCCAGATTTTCCTTCTACTATTTATATTACTATACCTTGTGTCATTCATGCTAATTGAAAAGTTCCGACGTCGAGACAGCGAGGATTACTTTACTGGAGATGAGGATGAAGTGAAAGTTTACAGAATCAGTCTTTGGCTGTGCACCTTTGCATTAGCCGTGTCACTGGGCTCTGCTCTCTTACTGCCAGTATCTATAGTCAGCAATGAAGTACTCATACTATACCCTAATAGTTATTATGTCAAATGGCTCAACAGCTCTCTCATACAAGGTAAGTTTAAAAGAAAAACATCCTAATATATAAAACCAGTTTCTTTATAAAATGAGTGAATTCTCAAAAGTTCTAAGGTATATAATTCAATGTGTTGTTGATAATATCACCTGTTATGTAAACAAAAGTTGTTTGATGATTACTGAAAATTAAACAAATATTTATCCTATGTGTAGTACAATAGAAATTGTGTGATCTGATGTAATAAAAAAGTATATGGAATCATAACAATAACATAATGGACTCAAGGACTGCTAGTTATTTCACTTTATACATTCATATTTATCCGGTCTTGTTATGTGTCATACAATAGATTATTGTTATAGACTTTATAAATGATGATCTCTCTGACGACCTCCTGAATAAAACCGAAAATACAATGTTCACTAAGAAATTTATTTATTTTACTGATCCGAGAATGTACTAGCGGCGTTTAGACACATAGAATACTGCATTCCTGTAGCTAAAGAGTAAACACAGCGTGTCGTATCATCGTATGTACATACACGTTGAAGGTTTCAACTAAGAATTGAATTAAATAGGTAGAGACAGCTCTGCGAATGTCGCAATAAAGCGTATGTTCCGTGGCAGCAGGGGAGCATGATTGATATCGTGACAGACCTCGACACGGGGGCTTCATGTGTAATTGTGTACACTTCGGCGTTTGCATACGTTGATGAATTGAAAAACGTCATAGAAACTCGAAAATCAACATGGTTAAGCTAAGAGAAAACGCAGAAATGAATCGTTTCACTTATTGTGTACACAAAGGCTTTTCAGACACGCTTTTAGAGATTTTCTTATGAATGTCTCTGACGAGCTGACCTACATTTCAACTTTGCAGTCTAACAGAAATGAATGCACTCGGTTTAAGTTAGTAACGTTAAGAATCCGTTGTACCTAATAGAAAGCCAGTGAATTATAACCAGGCATTTTCCTATTAGTTCTCACTATGAGACTATGATTTTAAATATTCAAGCCCAAATATGCATAATACATTCCCCTTATGTGACATTATTTACACAGTTTAAACTGGAGCTCCTACTACGACTCTTTATTGTTATGTCGATTCACGATACACACAGATCCTATTACCTATTTAATATTTGAGTACCGTTAGCAACATTGCTAACAGACACCTAGTTTATATTATTGATAAATTTTTTTTTACATGATTATTAAGAAACCACATGTCAGTAACATGTGGTGAAAACATGGTGAGGGAACTTGGACTTATAGTTTCTAATCAGGTATAAGTTTGAAATCGCCAGTCCGCCACAGCGAGGCTGGTGAATAATGTTCAAACTTTCTCCGTGAGAGAAGAGGCCTTTGCTCAGCAGCGGGCACTTATAAGTTGATTTTGTGATGTTAAATTGTTTCAGGGTTATGGAACCACGTATTCCTGTTTTCCAATCTGTCAATGTTCGTGTTCCTGCCTTTTGCATATCTGTTCTCGGAGTCGTCTGGTTTCCCTGGATGTAGGGGACTGAAGGGCAGAGTATACGAGACGTTCATAGTCCTCGCGTTACTTGGTGTTGCTATGCTGGGCCTGGCCTACGTCATCTCAGCCTGGTTGGAAGGCGACAGTTCCAGTATTGATGCTTTGCTTAGTAAGTATAAAGATACAACATTAATTATGTATAGTTTTATCGATTCAAATAACGGTAATGTAGGTACGTAAGCCACCCAATAACGTTTTACCTCATGTTTACGATAACTAACACAGTAGCTTTTCTTTAATTTTATTTACACACATTTTTGCACACTTTGACTGAACTGCACGGTTGGCTGCCTCGCAACGTATCGCGGATTCGATTATCGCACGGAACAAATCCTTGTGTGATCCGTAAATTGTTGAGTGTATGTGACATTGTATGTTTGTAAACGCTCCCACGACACAGGAGAAAATCCTAGTGTGGATAACGTTTTTAAAAAAAATTAACGCTGAAATTGTCTTTGTAAATGAGGTCTATTTTGTGCTCAGATGAACTCTAAAGCGGTAGTGGTTTGGTTACCCCTAGACAGTATTAGGTATCCTGTCTCTAACATGCCTACTTATGTACAAAGCAACACATATTTTTACGACTTCCAACGATATTTCAAATAAATGGTACAGTAACTACATACAGTTTACAAATAGTGCAATCAGGGAATTCTGAAAATAATATATGTGTTCGCCGTGCTCAATTGAGTGTGAAGAAACCGTACTGTAATTATTCGGCCATAGTCAATGTCAATGTATGTGTGCCGGCTATCGATTCCTCTGGAAACTTCTCTTTTAAGCTGTAACATGTTTGAAACTGATGAGGTTTTTTTTCGGCTATAGTACGGATGAGGTAACCCTCACAAAGACCCTTTCCGAGAAACAGATTTTCGAAAGTCGATTTAGGCGTATTGGAGTCAATAGTTTTAAGTTGAAAGTCAAACTAGGCTCGTTAAAAACCGACTTCTTTAACCAAAAAAAATACTTTACTCATTGCATCACTTTACACCTTCACTTGCACTACTTATGTTTTTATTTTGAGTACAAAAAATACAGAAATGAAAATATTTTCCAAATGATAATTTTACAAGCAGTCGTCCGTAACTCGTAAAATCAGACCGCCAAAGAGTTCTCTCATAAATAACGCCTGCTTCAAAGATTTTTCACCGGTTTCACATCCTCCTTAAGTGGGCTGCTAGAATCAATTAAACGGCTCATTTGTTACATCTATGCACAATTTGTAGATAAATGTTATGTCCTGATTGCTATGCCCGTCACGCGTCGCCTGCTCAGAAGCCCTGGCCATCAAAGTCAAGTCTATGATGCGTGTCAAATGTATTGTGTGTAATTATTAACATTGCGCCATTGTCCACAGATTTGTGGACGTACCTACCTTTCCTGTATTCCTGTGTGTCGTTCGTTGGAGTTCTTATGTTACTGGGTAAGTAATTATTAACATTATTTCTGATACATAATCGAATTGACAATGTCAATATAAACCTTATCAGTTAACAGCGCTGCAGTGGATCGGTCGTTAGCTTGACTGCTTTCTTTATTGTGAAAACTTGATACACAGACTGGTTCCATGCAACTTTTCTATCCAAACTGCACATGATCCAAGCAACTGTTTTACAATACATATGTATACATATAATATTACTCTTACATTCCTCGTGTGCATGTGCACGGTGTATGTTCTTGCATGCGAATTATCAACAATTCTATGAATATTTTGTTTGTTTTTGCACAAAGGTCTATCGAGACTTTAAGTTCCATGACGTCACGTGGTGGCAATCCGCAGACATTGACCTCAAATTATTACATTCTGTTTATTTCGTTACGAGTCGTTAGTGAAGGTAGAGTGCATCGAACTCGGACCTCATTTATGCCTTTTCAATAGAATCAGTAATATCTACACTAAGGATTTTATTATAGGCATATTTCATGATGAAGTATCTAAGTAAGAAGTAGGTATATCATGACCATTGACTTCAGTGTTCCTAATCGATTACTGTTAAGTAGAGCAGTAGTATAGTTATAGTTATCGATATGACTGCATTGATAACGGGCATTAAAACCAGCTGTAATCTTTTAGAACAATAAAACTTTATTAACTAAATGTACACGTGAATACATTAACTATACATGGCGATGACGTGCCTTATCATGTCGTCGGCCACTTGTATGTTTTGTTAAAAAAAGTAAATAAACATGTGGAACCTAAAAATAATCAAAGGGGGAAAACAAATACATCTAAATCCTATTTAATCGGAGTCTTCGTCGCCGTAACCTTCTTTCTTGTCTAGATAGTCGTGTATCAATTCGGCGTGCTGTGGAAACATGGTGTCCAACTGTTTCCTGCATTCCTCCAGCTTGGCCGTCTCCTCTAACTCCTTGTAAGCTTTAGCTTGATAGAGCCGCGCTCTGAAGCTGTTCTCGTTGAGCCGCAATGCTAAGTCGCAATCATCGAACACCTGTAAAATGCATTTCATACGCAGTATATTATAATCGCTGGGTGCCCGTAGAAAGCCGATGAGCTGGCAATCTATCAAGAGTGGTATTTTATCTATTTATGCCAAGTGCAGTTTCAATATATACTTTGGCACTTATGTAATTCTGCCTAACCCGCGCTTCTTGCAAAAAATACTCATAGACTTGACGATGCTCACTAAAGAAAATGACGATAATACAAATATTCACTTGGAACCATTTATTTGTTCAGTTTGTCTGATGTAAGTTTCTGGTTATTGCGTATTGAAAAGTTCATCAGTGATTACTAGCGTATTTAAAAGTCAATTTAAATTAATAATAGGCCCAAACTACAATCCACTACTAATTGCTTCATTCAAACAGATGCGTGTGCCATATAAGGTAACGATAGTAATAATAACTTCGATTTATTAAATGACTTGGAATGAATTGCTACCTTCAATACTCTAAAGCTCACGACAATTGTTTGTGTAAAATGTAAATACTGTGCGAGTGATTTGTTTGTGATGTGATTTGTTTGTGCCACGCAAAAACTAAGTATCAATATATTAGATCAAAATATTTAAATACAATAATTATATTAATTCATAATACATAAAAAAACGAAAAGAACAACGTTTTCCCTGAAAAAAACAGTCTCGTTAGTTCTCAAATAAATCATTATTGAAATTATCTATGCGATAATCGCATTAAAATTATATCTTTTATAGAACCGGTCCTTGTGTTAACCATGTAGATAATATATTGTTAATTTCTAGATAACGGTTTCGTTTACATTTTAACATACCTAATCAATATTATCTTCGCGTTCCTCGTCTAAATAAAATAAATAATCGCTATGTTACTTTGCGGATCTGGGACAATGGCCGCTTTGGACACATCTCAATGCAAAAGTTAATAGCGAAAACGGTGTACGACCATTTACGTTTAACGATGCCATTAGGCGACTATATAGCAAATATAGAAACTAGGTGCTATTGAATCTATAATTAAAATGTAGGTGATGGATGTGTAGATCGTTTGCCTGCACTATGAATAAACGTGTCACGTTTATGAACTTTGACCTTATCCAAAATAGTGATAACAGGGTTGCTTATAAAATATAAATCTACGTGTCTGTACTGACCTTGTCGAATTTTCCCAGTTTGATTTTAGTAAGTGCTCGATCACAGTACAACATGGGGTCATCACGAACTTGTTCAATAGCTCTATTGTAGCATGAGAGAGCTCTATCGTATTCCTCACGGCGGAATGCCTTGATGGCTTGGGTTTTCAACGTGTCAGCTCGTTCGCGACGCACCTTCCGTTCTGCATAACGTCTTTCTGCATCCTTGCTCACTTCGGCCATCCATGATTCTTTATCCACCTCATTCTGGTGATGTAAAAATAAATAAATTTTAGTCTACATAGATAAGTAGATAGGTACCTGCATATGTACTACTGATTACATTATGGAAAATCCATTATCATACGTATACATTTGTCTAGAAACAATTACTGTAAAAGCTGCGAAATAGATTGAATGACGAATGATTGATTAATATTGTTCCTTAGACACGGTTATCAGTCCTTAACGAAATAATTACCAAGTGCATTAAGATGGGTTTGCAGATAGGTGTATGAACTCAGTGAAGACAAAATTAAAATTTATTATTACAGGCGTTTGGATAATATTACTTTTGCACTAAATAAAAATTGTATTATTAGAAAAGGCAATCATTTCGTTTGAGATAGGAAATATTAGAAAATGTTTATGGAACACAGACTTCTTTTATTTTAGTCAAGCTGTAAATAAATACTTATACATTTTAATTTAAATAAATATTATAAAGTGGATATAGACCGGGCAACAACTATTCGGATACATAAACTATATATATGAGTATACTTTAGCTTTTTACATATTTATTTTATTGACATATTTAATATGCACACAATATGAACATTGCGGACTTTATGTCTAACCTAATTGCACTTACTTATACTTGTTTAAAAAGCCGTAATATAATAATAAAGATAACCTAAAATACCTATTTATTGTCTATCTATAAATTTATTTCAATGTGAATCATTTTAATTAGATTTATGTAAGTAGATTAGTTTGAAGGACAATAACCTTGTCATTCGACAACTAGGTGCCTATAATAAATGTAAATTATCAAAAATTCGTCATTGAAGTTCTAATTGTTAGTATGTATTCATAAATAAATATTTACCGAGTCGTAATAATTGATTGAGTATATTTATTGTTAGTAGCGCTGTCACGATATGTTCCACTGACCGACTTGTCCCGAACGGTATTTTAACACATGCCTAATACAAACCCTGGACAGTTAGTACAAGATTGTCATTTATTTGAACAAGAAGTACAAACACTCCTATTGTTCGAACACCAAGATTTGTTCCTGGGTATGCCATACAGTTTAATAATATTTTAACGAAGAAAAATTTGGTTGTTTGGGCTTGAATAAACTCCGAAACTACTTAACCAATAAAAAAATTCTTGCACTGGTAAGAAGCTACAGTACGTACGTGTATTACCGGTGAACATATAGGCTATAGGCATATGCGGGAAGCCACGGGGCACGGCTAGTACTAAAACATTAGGTGCAGTAATAATTTAGTCTTGTCGTGTAAGTTATTTAGATATCAATAATGCATGTTGGAGAGACAGCGAAGCTCATCGTAATATATGTAAACATTACATGAATATTTCTATCCGCACTGCAAATAGAAAAGAACAACAGTATCTACACGAGGTGGATGTTTATTTATAGAGAAACGCGAGCCAAATTGCTTTCACTGATAATATAATGCCGTACGTGCACCTCGCGTTTAGAGGTCTACCACGAAAATGCATTACTAGACGTCGGATGCAGGTGCACGCATGAAGTCTTCACCTATAGAGAGACCATGTAGACCCTCAAATATTACATCATCAAATCTATTCAGAGTTTTGACGACCTAATTACAGACCCACGTGAACGCTTTTGGCATGTTGTTGCTCTATTGTCATTCGCAATAATACACGTAAATACATATTTGCATAATATATACCAGTTGCGTTGTTTTTGCAGCTGATGTGCATATCTGCTTAACACTAGGTTTAGTTTAGTAGTCCACGCATTTGCTGTATGGAACACATAACCAGGTGTGTTACTGATAACCTACTTTACTCAAGAATTGAGTAATGAAATTAAACGATATCAAATTACACCTAATTCCAAGATAGGAATTAGGTAAGAGAGCCAAGTAATGGAATTATTCGGTATTGTGAAACAGAAATTGTTCTTAGCCGTCAAAACAGGATCGTTGAAATAACTTCTAAACCTGTTTTGTGTCGTTCCCTCCCTACTGCCGTAAATATTGCTGGGGAAATGAGCTTTATTGTAATCTAGCGAAGGGTGTAAACAGGATACGTTTGTGTGCATTTCAAAAATATTAAGGGTACCAAAATAGCGTCAGCTGCTCACCGCATCTTTATTTCCGAGATTATGAAACGCCTTCTCATTGATCACAGTGCGGTTTTGTTTCACTTTGAGTGTAACGTCCTCGTCAAGTATAACTTTCCCATCTAAGTACTGGTCAGCAAGAGCTTTAGCTGCCTCTGCCTTAGCTTTGTCCCCACTAGACATGTCTTTCACAATATTAGATACTTCGCCAACTTTCTTCATGAAGTTGTTGAACTCTTCATCCAATTCTATCGATCTTTTGTCTCTTATAGCAGGATTGTTAAGAATGCTCATTGTCGTGTGGATTAATATTTAATAAATTAACAAAAACGTTTACGATCAGCTTGTTTACAAACTGTCTCTATTGACGTAACAGTTATCATAGCAACCGTTGTCAGGTTAAACATAAATATGTAGTCGAAAGTCGATGACAAGCGACTTCTGAAAAAAAAAGTAGTTGTTTATGTTTGTCTATATTTATCCAGCCTGATGTTGACCAATATTTATTATTTTGTTTAATGTACGTCACCGTAGAGAGATAATCTTACGTTTGTAACTTACGATCTCGGTCGAGTTTTTATGTTGTAGTCGATTCTATATTTAAGTCAAGGTAAAACAGAAAAAATAGAAATGTTTCCGACTGATAAATATAACAACATGCGTACACTGTGTAGTACTCTGAACAAGTGCTTCCTTGTTTTTTTATTGCTCTAATGTCAATGTTAATGTATGTAGCGTGCCGCGTGCCGCATCTAAAAAAAATATTTGTGTTCACACGTGATAAGATTCGCAAACAAAAAGTAACTATGTATCAAACTAATATATGTAACTGTTTGATGCAATATTGGTGAAGTATAAATCTATACTAAATATCCGTATCAAAGTATTCTAAAGCTTGTTTTTGTAGAAATGTTAAAATCTTAATTCAATAGCTACTTTATTCATTACGTCTTTAGCAAGGGACAACCATTTTGTGCTCGAATTGCAAATAAAATATGGTGTCTTAAATTCGTTGTGAGACTAAATTATTGTATGTTTCGAAATGTGACGTTGCTCATTAAATGCAGGCGACGTCTAAAGTTCAAATATCCGTAACATTTAAAGTGCATAGCGCGCTGTGGCCCAAAAATATATTTAGACTCATTTAGACAATAGGTTGACTATATTCGGGTTAATTAGTTCTTAAATTGCGACTGCGTAGTGCGTAGGATAAATATTATGCGACACAGTTTAGTGTACCTACATACGTGTAGAATACTGACTGGGTCGCAGGCGCAATGAATAATTACCTGCCAATGACGATGAACACGTTAAAATTAGAACTACAACTATAGACAGACTATTCATCCAAATTAATTGAGCGGCACATAGTGTTTAAAATGGGAGATAATATAAGACATTGCTCCTAAATCAATCAATCGTTCTATAGATATTAATTTCTCTCATAACATTATTGTTTGCAGTATTCACTCCGCTCGGCTTCGTGAGATTGTTCGGCGTGGTGGGCGGGGTCCTCGTCAAACCTCAGTTCCTGAGGGATCTCAACGAGGAGTACTACGTGTACTCTTTCGAAGAGGATACAATCAGGCGACGCATCAACAATGCTGTCTCTACAGGTAAAGAAATTTACAAACATGTTCTGTATCAGTTGAATGACCTCGAACTCTATGCTATTTCTATATGTTGTAAGATCGAGTTTATATGTTTATCAAACATAAACAATGCAAGTACTTACATATACGACATAAGAAGGAATGTTTGTGATAGAATTAATTTAATAAGGAGTGACAAAAGAAAGACGTATAGTTCCAATTCTAAGTTAGTACTAGCTTGGGATAAGAGCATTATGGTATCGGAAAACAGTTTTGATAATAATATACATATGTAAATTCTAAACTACGTAGTAAAACATTTCGATACGTCCGTAACACGAATGTAAACGAAGTGAACAGTACATCAATAATTTATGTTATCTGATAGGTAGAAGGTTAACTAAACAATGCAGTAGCCAAAACCAACTTCACAAACACAATCATTCTATCTGTACGTGTACAAGGATACAGATACATTAACCTATGTGCGTAATGATGCTGTATTCTCTTCCTACATCGGTGAGCCGAGCTTAACCTCACGAACTGACGAGGTGACCTTCCTAAAACATTAAAATTTTAAAATCGCGCAAATAGTAGGTAGTCGGTACATAAGCATTGTCTATTTTTACCTAGGTATTAATTTATGAAGCTACATATTTTTGTTTGAAGAGCTTCTACAACGAGTTAGCTGTTCGCATTCTCGAATTCTTTTCGCAATTGATTCGTTTGAAGGTCGTTCCGTATCATTATGCTACGATATTCAGGAACGGAAATCAGTACGGAGTTGGTACAAAATAGTTGTGACACTCCATGGCTTTGCAATGTTTGTTATTATTTGTTTGTTACGAGATAAAGTACTTTATTATTGTTTATTTAAACAATTTTAACAATACCTAAGTATTGGGTAGCACTGTATTGTATAAGTTGTTTCTTGAGTTTCTTCATACTAATAACTTTTTAAACCAAACGATGACGTTGGATCATACTTATCTATGTGGAAGAACACAACTTCATACGCTGAAGGAAAACATCGTGAAGAAACCTGGACTTATATTTTTTTATTATAAGTTTGAAATCGGGGAAATAAATACTCTAATCTTCTCCGTGTAAGAAAGGCACTTTAGGCTATTGATGATTTGGAAGAAGTTGTTGACTCAATGAAATAATGATTTTTGAAAACAAGTATCATACTCCTTAAAAGATTTCTTGTATTTATCCGACTTATGTCACGTCCGCATTGCTTTCCTATCAGGCGTAGGAATGGGCTTTGAGCTCGTCAATAATTATACCGTGAATAGTTACTGTATGCTTCACACCTATCTGAATATTCCTATTCATATATCATGGTATAAAAATCATGTTCTGAAGTGCTGAGTTATTTTGCGCTTGCCCTTTTTGGTATGGAGACAGAGATCACGTGCTGATCTTTACTAATTAATAGTGTCTAATTTATAGCGAAGCAAATGTCAATTATAATTGAGACTTCAAAGCTAAGCATTAGCAGTAATAACTTTTGCTTTACTAAAGGTTATGTCCGTACAGACAGGCCAAAAGCTTGGCGAGTCAGTCACCTGGCTTATGGCTGTTTGTTTCTAGTTACAATATCATAATTATAAAGATCTAAATCGTATTTATACAAAGCCCCCATAGATACGATACTACGCATTAACCGATATTACCCAAAATATAACGCGTCAAAGAATTTCGCACGAACAAAATAGCCTCGCATTGAATGCAGTACAAACAATTAGATTGTTTTAGCAATCAGTTCATACGGCACAGCTAATTAAGATTTAATCAACATGGATCATGCTTCCTAAACAATTGTTTGTTTTATCTTACGAGACATAACAACAGTTTGGAGCTCTTGCAAACGGACGTTGAAATTGCGTGGCAATATGAAATTACTAGCTTTTGCTTACGACTTCGGTCGCGTGGAATAGTGTCTTCCGGCAGATTTTTGGTTTTGCCTACATAGTTCCTGATCTCGCGGGAGTTTTGAGAAGTTTCCGCTCCCCGGAATTTTAGGGATAAAAACTATCCTATGTCCTTTCTCGACTTCCAAACCAAACTATGACTGTACCAAATTTGCCACAAATCAGTTCAGTACTTTAGGCGTGAAGAAAAGAGTTACTTTCGCATTTATAATATTAGTTTTGATAGTGGTTATACCTAAGCAGGCAAAGTTCGAGTGAATGTTTGCGTTCCGTAATATTCAAGTCTAGTCTAGCTATATCAACGTAAAGTTGGTGTTTACGGCATAAGCTTTACTTACACACTATTACTCAACATTTAGCGTGATCGCGTTTACTTTGAAGTTCAGTCAATATTTTACTCCCGGTACGACGTGTAGTAAGTCTTACCTACTTGTCGTCAATTGCGTTTAAAACCGTTGAAATGAGTTCTACTTATTTGATATTACCCATGTTCAGCCGGGGTGGCGGGGTAAGCGCAATGAGGCATCGCAACCTCGGCCCAGAGCAGGAGAAGGAACGGGGGGGTTTTTAGTCAGTAAGAGTCTGACACTCCCTCCCGCCCGGCCCTGGGCGGGAGAAGTCATTTGATGATTTTCCTCTCACAAAAAAAAACCCATGTGACATCGTACACCTAATGATAGACGTTTCGAGGCTGCCTAATTGAAGCTGGACTAGGTAATATTTTACCAGCTATAGGGTATTTTACATTCTGTCGTCCCACATCCGACATCTTACAATTTTTACGACAGTACAGTCTAAATGACTCCGAATAAATGAGCCAAGACTTGACGTTAACAACCACGTAAATCGGTGCAGTAATATTTTCGTATCTACATTTTATTTTAGAATCGTATTTTTGGATAATGAGATTTTAAATTGTGCGAGACTCGTAAAGAATAGATTTACTTTCGTTTTTTTTTCGTGCAGTGGGTGTTTAGACTAATAAAATAGATAAATGTTCATTATAAACCAGTGCTTTGACATGGTCGACTTTTTCTTGTTTTAGTTTGATAAAAACGGACATAATTAACCTACATTAATGGGGTTGATATATTTACTTTGAGCGCTTTTCCTTATAATTTTATTACTATTAGCTTAGTCTACTTACTTAAACACCGCAGAATAGAGCAGAAGAAACGTAAGGGTTTTTAGTCAGCTAGAGTCAGACACTCCCTCTCGCCTCACCCTGGGCGAGAGAAGTCATTTGATGATTTTCCTATCACAAAAAAAGCTGAGTGTATTTATAGATCTACTAGCTTTAGCCCGCGACTCAATTCGTGCGGAATAGTGACCTCCTGCAGATTTTTGGTATAAAAACTATCTTATGTCCTTTCTCGAGTTTCAATCTGTGTCTGTACCAAATTTCACAAAAATCGGTTCAGTAGTTTAGGCGTGAAGAAAAGACAGACAGACAAACAGACACAGTTACTTTCGCAGTTATAATATTAGTTTGGATGAGTAGTGTACTTGTAGATCTTTACACTAAGCTTTTTTTAGATTTCTATATAAGCAGTATTGTTAGAACTGTAATAATGCAACGAATGTAGCTACTAATAAATAACAGTTATTCAAATATATCGCAAAAACGGTGAAATCACGTGTGCGATGACAAATCAATAAACAACGTAATGAGAGTATGAACATGAAACACTGACCCAAACAATAGTGTTATTTACAAACACAGTATACGACTACTGCTTCTCTTAGCTCTAACCAATTCTTAATGCTATGTAACTTATTTTATACTAATGTCTGTCAGCGGCTTCACCTGCTTTACCCAGGTGGAAAGTAGCCTATGTGTTATTCCCGACTATAATCTCTGTGCCAGTTTACATCAAAATCCATTCAGTAGTTTCTGCGTGTGTAACGAACATTCATCCATAACAAATACGCTTTACGTTACTGGTCGTTTATTATCAAAATAATTAGATATTTTATATTTCGAATGAAGATATGCCTTAGTATTTTTCAGTCTTATTTTAAGACGTAAAAAAAACTAAAGTATGTACAAAATTAGTATTACTTGCTGGATATATACTCCGCTCTAAAATTCTTATAATGTGTTTTTATACTATATGCCAGTGTTGAAAATTCGGTTGGTACTGCACCTTGATCTTAGTTTCAAAGTAAAAAAAAATAAAACAAAACATCTACAATATAATTGATTTTACGTCAAAGGTTCTAAGAGAAAAAATAATTTAGCATAGCTGGTTTTAGTTTTTTTTAACTATAGGTTAACGTTACTCAGGCGATTGTAGGTAGGTAGGTATAATTAAGTTTTTGCTATAATCTAATCGTGTAACGAATATCATTTTAACTTTTTGTGTGATAAAAGTGTATTTAGTTTTCGACGTCATATAGTTTAATTTGGCCATTTTTTAGACTTTTATAGTCTTTTGATATAATACTTATATAAACATAATTTCAAAATCGAGGTATATCTATCTTACGGCGGATGCCCTGCACAACAATAATCTATTAATTATTGCTTTTTAATCGATGTTTTTTTTGGGTTTTGTGTATTTGTAATTTTTAAAATAATTAATTTAGTACTTACGTAAAATTTCACATGGTTTTTTAGTATTTATGCATTTTTTTTACCTAGTCGGAGTCTTTTGATTATGCAAATAGTTTATCAAGAACACTCTGTCACCCGTGAATCGGTTAATGAACGTGGCGTTAGTGCGCAAGCGCAAGCAAACAAAAACCGTCGGACCTGTCCATAACAATATTTACCTTACAAAACTAAACACAGTGATTTCTTTCTTTTTTCACGTTTATAGTTGTTTATCGTCGTATCTTTTAAAAAAAACGTAGGAAAGATAAAAAACAGACACGTTTGTTTATATTTTCTGTACTTCTAGTTTATTTTATGAGGACTTCTAGCACTTATTCTTCTTAACAAGGTTAATATAAAAAGACAATATGGCGCCAACCTCAAATGTGGACTATATGAGTTAGGCTCTATTCCCCGTTTGGCTTTATCGTCCCTTCCACAGGTCCCTTCTTATAAGGAGGAAAAGAGAAGGAACTATTGTTTTCCTACTACATTGTTCAGGCAGTAAAAGCAGTTCTGTATTATTTATTTCAAGAATACTTGTTCATATTTCTCCAGGAGTGGGCTACATATCCCCCGAGCCCATGTACCCTGACCGCGGTGACATATCAGCGCCATTGGATGCTGATGTGTCCATAACAAAGGACAGCCAGCGTGCTGCCGTGAAACGAGGCAAGGAGACACCCTTGCTTCGACTGAGGAACGGCGCCCTCCAGGCCGGACTGAACGACAGGCTGCACAGAGTCGTGGCTATGAGGAAGGTAAGAAGTCTGAAAACTTGTAAGTTATATTAATCTATTTGTGATAATACTTATGAACATTTATCAGTCAAAAAAATAGCTGTCTCCCTTAGGTGTTTGGAGACATAAAACCCTTGGAGTTAGATGTGAATTGTGATTTGTGAGAATTTTAGATAAAGATGTAGCAAGCATGAATTTTGTAGATTGATATTGGTAAATTACTATAACATTATTTTTGGTTCTGATTACGGAATAACTAAGCACCACCTAAGAAAAATAGATTTTGTAAGCTAGGTACAGTAACAATTGTGGCGTTTCCGATCTGTAGTTGTTTACAAAAAACTAGCTAGTTTTCTCGCGCAGGTTCCTACAGATTATAGCGTGATGTTAGATGGTCTTAAGCCTTTCTATATTTTTCAAATTCCAACCAGTAGTTCTTGGGATTAGCGCGTTCAAACAAACAAACTCTTCAGCTTTATGAGAATAGATATATGGTTAATTATAAGTTGATGCGATTTATGACTACCGGTCATTGTTCGTCTTGGCATTCACAGTAAGCCGCCGGTTCATCGAACAATCGATTTGACAATAAGTAATTTTCCTACCTCGCAGGTCATCGTCTTCTACATTTTGCAAATGCGTAGTAGTAATACCTTATCGGGTAGTAACAAAACAAGTTTTTGCATAAAACTTGCATACAGGTCGCTTGTTATTTTCTACTGTTTTGTACAAAAAATATTATGAAGATCTCGGCACTGAATGCGTAATTCATGTTACCAATGCCTTACTGAAACTAGTGTTACATTATCACGTTGAATTTACAACTCACATGGGCTTATAGTCCCAGTTTATTGGACGGCCTGGCGTGTCATATGCACGACGTAAACTCGTATTTAGAAATTATAGGTCTAGGTTGAATCACGATGTTCCTCTACATCATGTGTCAGTGGTCTCACATTGCTATTTGTCAGGCTTTGAACCCGCACCTTCATGCATAACAAGCGAGAGCATTAACCTCCGACCAATCACGACTGCCATAGCCATAATGGTGTTTAAAATGAAAATATTATTATCAAATATTCAAGTGAATATGTAGATAAACACAAGACGAGGAAAACAAAAGAATTAGTCGACAAAGACGCAGAAAGGACCTAAATGCCAATCTAATAATGCCAAGACCGTGAAAAGCACTCTGTAGATTGAGTGACATATTGTTGATATGCGTTCAGAAACAAATTACTATGTCGGCCAAGCAGGCGAACTAATAAAAATGTTAATAAAATGTATGTATGAAGACATTTATGAATAAGTAGATAGGACTAAAATATTTGGATTGGCGGCCTTTTGTCTCAGTGCCGCACATGAAAGATGGATGAGAATAAACGTTACGAATTCTGTATCACGCCATTGCAGTTGTGCGCTATTAAGCATGGATAGAAAAATCTTACAGTTAGGCAGTAGCCCGCCAGGTGTGAGTATCCTCCTTTTCCGGTCTGAGGAATAGATCGGCAAACGAGCAGATGGATACCTGATGTTTAGCAATCGGCGCCAATCCTGAACACCCGCAACACAGTGCAACACAACGCAGAAATTATAAATGCGTTTCGGCTTTTTTGGGGGATAGTAGGAATTTGGGATGATGAGGGGAGAAAATCGGGCCTCTGGTTACCTGGTCACTTGCATAGCGAAACCTAAAGCAAGCGTTGTTTAACGCCGTGTTTTCTCGAAGCCATGACATCACTCCGGTTGAGCCGGGCCATTTATGACGTAACATGGCTCTACCACACTTATGTTACCTACCTGGTAATTAAGTCAATTTGTTCATGTATTGAAATCATGTATTTTTTCTGTTTTTTAGGAGGTAGAAGGTCAACGCAAAACATCGTCTCTCCAACGTAACGTGGTGTACCCACTGGCGATGCTGTTATTGCTAGCACTGACCACCATTACCGTGCTCATGGTGTTGCAAAACACCCTCGAACTGCTCATCGGAATCAAAGCCTTGCCCCTTAGTACACGGGTCAGTATGTTTATCTTTCTATATATATTTCTGCTGTAGGTACGTGTGTATGTCATTGAACTTCTCCTAAACGGCTTGACCAATTTAAATTATTTTTTCTGTATTCGTTCGATGGTTTAGATTCACAAATCAGCCCGGCAGATAAACCTGATTGAATTGAAAAGAATTTATTTTTCCATCTTAGTAGAGATACTTAATAAATAAAACCTTCGGAAACCTCACTCAAACGGCGTGAAACACAACCTTGTGGTTGTTTCACGCTGGTATTCTGTGAGGCCGTGGTATCACCCCGGTCGGACCCATTAGTGCCGAAGCTTGGTTCTTAAAAAACCTAATAACATTAATAATGTTGCAGCAATTCACGCTGGGCATTGCGTCGCTGTCGAAGCTGGGGTGTGCGGGCGCGGTTCTGGAGGCGTTCCTGATCGTGTACCTGTACGCCGCCTCCCTCACGGGGCTGGGCACGCCGCTGCGCGCGCTACGCTTGTTGCCACGCGCGCGCCGCACGCCGCTCGCGCGCATTATCGCGCATTGCACGCTACTACTCGCCTACTCCACCGCGCATCCGCTCCTTGTGAAAATGCTCGGTATGTACCGTGTTTACAACATATTCAATTTACTTTAAAATGATATATGTACTTCTCAATTTGTTTTCTATGTTATCCTGTAAACTAACCATCCAGGGCCACACCTCAACACTCACTCTCTCAATCAACTCAATTTTAACGCGCTAAATTAATTGGCTACACTTAAAATTGCAACGTGAATGACCATCATTGGCGATCGACACTGCGCTAATTTTACTTGAAGTGACACCCTAGCACTGACAAATGTGACCGCTGCATCGCATCTCGCGTGTGCATCTTTGATGTACGGCTATTTAGGGCAATGTTAACGACATTGTAAAGTTGTCGTATAAAGCCATGGCTTCACCTACGGCTAACGGCATTTCTAGTTAATGTTGCCCGTGCAATATATAATTCGAAAGAAATATAGACAAACATTTTAGTTTTCAATTTTGGGCTCAATTAGTATTCAACTTCCTATTAGTCAAAATTAGGTGTTCTAACCCTCAAAAGGTACTTCTAACCAAGACTTCACGCTCTACAATTACGCCACATAATCAATGACACGTTCTTTGTAATAAAAATGATCGTTTCCACCAGGCATAACGAACTTCGATTTGCTGGGCGAATTTGGGCGCATCGAATGGCTGGGGAACTTCAAGCTGGTTCTGTTATACAATGCCATATTCGCGGGCACGGTGACGCTGTGCCTTGTGAGCAAGTTCACGGCTAGCGTGAGGCGTGAGCTGTACAACAGGTTGGTGGAAAATGTCAACACGGTCGCGCACTGCGTCTCTTTCCTCAACAACTGAACCAGCGCCGCGTGACACACACCCTCCCTACTTAAGCTCTGATACATTTACCACCAGCCCGTGCTGCGCTCCCCACAGCCCCAAACATATGGCTGTCTTATAAATAAGAAATTGGTAAAATTATTCACAGATCTGGTTCATTAGTCCCTTAATGTTATCGTAACTAGCGCAGAAAATAGTATTGTTGGAAATGCACAAATAAAAATTTTGAGCATGTGAATATGTGAAATGTATTGTAAAATAATGTTTTATCTTTTAAATGTTTCAAATGCTCGAACACACAAGAATTTGTAATGTAATAAACAAAATGACAATCAATAGGTATTATTAATAATTAAATTAGTAGGTATTTGTTTAAATAATTAATTAATTGCATACTTGTATTAATGATAAGTGTTCATTACAGAAAATGACAAATTAATAAAAATAGTAAAAATAATATTATGAACATTACCAATATGGTAGATTTTTATTAATAAGATTATTGCATTTATTTTCTACCAATAAAATTACTTCTATTTGTTTCGGTTCCTATTTTAGTATTTTATAATATGAAAATTGTGTCATAAATTACTATCTGTAAATTGTAATATTGTAAAGTTTTTGAGGAAAGACTCGCTAGAATAAATTTGAATTTTTTATTGCCAATGAGACTGAATTTGTTAAAGTTATGATTAGGAACAGGAGATTATTTATTTTATTTCGTTACGTCTATGTAATTACTAATGCGACTGGATGGATTACAATAATTAATTTTAATATTATTTAAATTTTAACATTTGTGTAAGATTATTGCCATGAAGTTATAATGTATTATTGTGGTACTCGGTTATACATATATTTAGAACCACGTTTTTTATCTTGTCTCAATTTCTTTTGATTTGCGCTGTGCTTTGATATTACGCAGTGATTAAAATTTATAAAAGACATTGAAGACTGTTTTTATCCTTAGAATAACTATAGATTTATTTAAGCTTTTGTTGCTCAATATACATCACACAATTAACGCTATAATGGTGATGAATTATCAATTTTTAATTTCTTGTGGTTGGCATGTTGAGGCTAACAGATACAATACATCATTCTAGTCTACCAGATCTCTGTTGCAGGAGATCTCTTACGAGCTTCAGCATACGAACTCTTAGGATTCTTGGACATCTAACAATTTAAATGATTTCATCAGATATCATTATTTACATACTACTAACGCGCAAACTTCAGTTTAAAAGACATAATAATGTAGCAACATGTATTTAGTGTGTTTAAAATAAATGTTAATGTATATAGTTGACGAAATAAAGCCAGTGGTGCTACAATTTATCATTAAACTATACTAAAACACACCACAAGAATAAAATATGTAATGTTATTCAGTAATGTACTTAGAACAAGCATTATTAGGGCGCTTATGTAAGTCTTGTGTGTGAATCTCGATTGTTTGTGAGTAGAATAATTATTTTTAGTGTGCGGATTTTATACATTTTGTATTAACTTGTACCAAATGTTGAGATTGCATTTGAAACAATACATAATAAAAATTGATGTGGTCTATTTATTTTTGCCCACAACTTGTGGTAATGACTTTCCCAGTAGTAGTAGCAGCACCTATATATATTTGTGTTAACCTGTCTCATTGCTTTCTCCTGGTTGCTGGAAGCCATCATGCTTTTATTTAACATTGCTTCTGCTTTACATTTACAAAGTATTTATTCAGTCTCATTAGGTTTTTCAGTTTTAACAGAAACATGTTTTAAAACGGTTTACTTTGATTTAGATTCAGGAGGATTGCAGATGTTTTCACTTTCCCAGAGGAAACAAAGACTAAAGTGATTACAAAAGCTGCATTAAATGCAACACGAGCATCAGTAGAAAGAAACATGGTCAATGTTGACACTGAAGATGCCAAGACAAAATGACATTCGACAGCAGTAAATGAAGGAATATAATATAATATTGTCCTTGTAGGTAACTGTTACGAAAACACATTTTTTATATTATTTTACAAATCCTGTGTGCAGGAGGTATTATACTGTGCCAAAAACTTGCGTCAACTAGGATAGGTTAGGTTATAATAGATCTGTGATCCTCAATGATTCATCAAATATAGCTGCCTACCTACAAACTATTTGTAAACAAAGAAAAAAGCGTTAAAATATTATTATTATCTTCTATGTAAAAAGATATCTTTACGTATAAATCAATCAGTCCCAGAGATGATATTAGTGATACTGTTTAAATAAAGCAAGAAACAACATCGGCTGCACGGTTGGCGCAGTGACTGAGTTACTGGCTGCTGTGTATCATTTCGCGGGTTCGACACCCAGACCCGAAACAAAAATTTGTGGATCATACAAATCGAATTAAAATAGGTACCGACAAAATACAGAACAATGGTGTTAGTTTCGTACCAGTTACCTAGAAAGATAGAAAAGCCATTGGAAACCAGGTACGAAACCTCGGTTTCCTACGCGGCGGAAAGAGATGATAGAATGTGTCCGTTCCCCAGGCCAGATGTTGTCGACAATGGTCATTTGAATCTTATAGATAATTAGTTGTGGGGCTTCTGTAATTGTTGCGCACATTTTTAAATTTGTTGCGCTTATAGTTTTTTAATTATTTCACAAAAACATTTCCTGCTGGCGTAACGTCACCACAGCCAGACCTTTTTCTTTCTAATGGGAATATTTAAATAAATATTAGCTATAAAATTAGTTGTCTAGATAAAGTAAATGTTGTGCCTTATTTTGTATTTGTTCTTTCTTCGGTTGCGAAGTTATTCGAGATTTTGCTGCGGTAACGTTTTTGGTTTTGCTAGATCTTTGAAATGGTTAAGCGGATTCTTATCATATTTTGTACACGACTTCCGAGGACTTAGTTTAAATTTGTTGTGCAATAACAAAACCAAAATATTGCATATTTTAAAGGTTTTTTCATTAAATAGAAAAACACTTCAATTGGCCCCAGCACTCTCAATAAGAAGTCTAAAGACTTACTATAAACGTAATTTTAAAGCTTGTAACTGCCTTCAAATGTATGTGAAGTTTCATTAGTATCCCGTAAGTATTTAACAAGTTATGATGATATTCAGTTCTTCACGAGCACGGTCTTAATGCACGCGGTGTTATTTGGCCACTGGATTGGATATATGAACTGAATGTTATGTCAATAATTAGTAGTTTAGATCAGTTGTATATCAGTAAAATTTCAGCTCAATACATTGGATAATTAATGAGATAATACTATTAAAGTCATTAGGAAGTGAATGACCGTGGTAAGCCGACCAAGTTTAGGTGGTTACGAAAAAGCGAAAACGCAGAACATTATGGTACCTTCTAAAATATGTAGGATAGTGTTATAAATTTAGTACAGACATGTACAAAAGTTTTAAAAAAACTACATGATTATTCAAGATTTTTTATTGAAAGGTAAAATAATCATTTCAATTGAACTTTTACTCCCTTACTTATAAAAACTTGTGTTGCTTAGCAACCGATTAAACATCACCCGTCCTTGTCATTTCTATTTCAAAATGCAGTTCAAAAATCATCTAAAAGGTTACAAAAGTAACCTTCTGGCAAGACTGAGTGCGTTATGCAAACAATGTATTACCCCTTCACCCCACTCCTCCTGCGACCTACCGAACGGCATGCTCTAGCGGTGATTTTTGATAATTTTGTGAAACTGGAAGATAATGTTTTCTTTCATATTATTATTACATAGGTATTTAACAGTGTACGCGTCTGTACCAAAATTGTAAGGTGTATTATACTAATCATTTCAAAAGATAGTACAATGTTCTGCGTTTTCGCTTTTTCGTAACCACCTAAACTTGGTCGGCTTACCACGGTCATTCACTTCCTAATGACTTTAATAGTATTATCTCATTAATTATCCAATGTATTGAGCTGAAATTTTACTGATATACAACTGATCTAAACTACTAATTATTGACATAACATTCAGTTCATATATCCAATCCAGTGGCCAAATAACACCGCGTGCATTAAGACCGTGCTCGTGAAGAACTGAATATCATCATAACTTGTTAAATACTTACGGGATACTAATGAAACTTCACATACATTTGAAGGCAGTTACAAGCTTTAAAATTACGTTTATAGTAAGTCTTTAGACTTCTTATTGAGAGTGCTGGGGCCAATTGAAGTGTTTTTCTATTTAATGAAAAAACCTTTAAAATATGCAATATTTTGGTTTTGTTATTGCACAACAAATTTAAACTAAGTCCTCGGAAGTCGTGTACAAAATATGATAAGAATCCGCTTAACCATTTCAAAGATCTAGCAAAACCAAAAACGTTACCGCAGCAAAATCTCGAATAACTTCGCAACCGAAGAAAGAACAAATACAAAATAAGGCACAACATTTACTTTATCTAGACAACTAATTTTATAGCTAATATTTATTTAAATATTCCCATTAGAAAGAAAAAGGTCTGGCTGTGGTGACGTTACGCCAGCAGGAAATGTTTTTGTGAAATAATTAAAAAACTATAAGCGCAACAAATTTAAAAATGTGCGCAACAATTACAGAAGCCCCACAACTAATTATCTATAAGATTCAAATGACCATTGTCGACAACATCTGGCCTGGGTAACGGACACTGATAGAATACGCCTTGTAAAATTACCATATCTAAAATAAAACAAAGTCTATGGAAACGAGACTGTAAACCGAATTCAGATATTATGCGCGAATTCAATTACCTACTAGCCTTTCATCACACCCAGTGTAATTTTTTTTTCACTGAAAACCCTTAAAAAAGATATACCATACAATACGGCACCAAAGGTTGATTTTTCCAATGCCAGATAATTTAAATGAAGACATAATTTTGAATATTTAACAATTCTTTCATACACTGACTAAATGTCAATTTTATATGTAGGTACCACAAATAAAATTATATGCAGATCGAAAAATTAGGCCTATTTAAAAAATGCATTCTGTGTGATGATCAATGTGATAGCACTTGTTACAAGCTTGCACAAGCACAGCAGTCAAATGAATTTTACAACATTAATTTTAAGAGAAAATGTAATAGCAACATGTTAATATTTTGTTCATAAATTATTGCACTCAATCACAAAACAGGATTAATAAAATATTTTTTATGAAGGTAAAGCTCAAAGGCTCAATTTACACCACCCCGGAATGGAGTGGCAGCTTGTCGCCCAATAACGCGTGAATGTAGTCAATGCGTAGATGCTTCCCTGTTTGCGCCTCAGAATCCTAGAGCCGTCGCCAACAGTACCCAGAGGAGTTCACGAGGGTATTCCCTAAGACACACACTTACTCCTTGTTATTAGCTCTTATTGAGGTTATAGTTATTACATAATTATCATAAAGTTCATGATTTTATACATATATAGTTTTGTTGCAAAAAGTTGCTGTCATTCCATTTCACAATGGTGTTTATTGCTTAGACTTAAAGCCTGTGACTCATAAGGAAAAAATATTATTTGTAAAACTACATTTTGATGTATTTTAAATATATTTTAATGTGAGATGCACCTCCACTGCAATGTCTGTGATGAATTAATGTTTAATAATTTTTATTTATTGTTGAATGATATGTAAATATTGTGATTATAAGGATAATAAATAATGAAAACAATTTAATCTTCAGACATTTTATTGTCATCATTAGTTGAATCAACAAGTATATAGTGTTTACCATATTTCCTGGCCTCTGCTTTTAGGATTAGCCTCCTTGCATTGTTCCGTACCACTTCAAGGCTCTCATTGCTGTTCAGCCCCAGTAAAATACCCAAATTGATGACATCATGCACATCTCTCACTTGCATGTAATTTTCAGCTCCACTGGTCACCACAATGTTTCTTGATTTTCCAACTGCATGGTATGTGTGTGCTGTACTGATAATATTTTTTCTACATGTTGAATCTCTTATAGCTGGGGAGTACATGATTTCAAAAAATATACCTCTATCCACTGCTTGGGTATACAGCTTTCGACTTATTTTGAAAGGAATTCTACATTGTGGTTCAAAGGTTATTATATCTATATCCATAGAGGCACAAGCAAACTGGAAAGCTTGGAAAGTCTTAGGTAATACAGCAACAATGTCATACTGTTTAATATTTTCAGATTGATTAATTTTGTGTGATATACTAGAGTCAGAAAATTCAATAGTTACCCGCTGTAAAATATTAAGTTTCGAATTAGGATCTTTAATCATGTCTGCTGGTGGCGGTACGTAATCTTTCTTATCCCTGGTTTCTCCTTTCTTTTTCTTCTTTTTAGGCTCATCCGAAGGTTCTTCAACATGTGAATTAATAGCAATGGTATTAAACCCAAGTTTTTCTATAAGATGTAATTTATCAGCTTCAAAATTTTTGCTGACAAACAGATCACAAAATCCCCAATTGCGATTAGCCATAATTTTTTAAAATTTTTTTTAACAAATTAGTTTCCACGGGCTCAGTACTTCGTAAGAAAATAACGTGCTGTTTGTTGTGAAAATGTAGATTGCCAATGTCATGTCAGGCTGACAAGTTGTGTTGCCAGTAGTGTAGTTGATATTTTATTCATCTACGAACAATTAAATCACTGTAATGTTGTAAAATCTCTCTGTAACAAATGTTGTAAAAATTTCGCTAAATATACATAAACATTTTATAATACTATACAATATGCAAGCGAATTTGAATATTAACGTTACAGAATACCTACGTATTTTTTCCCATGTGTCACATTGAAAAGAGAATGACTGATTAACTCTTGAATAATTAGGTATGACAGTATTGGTTACGTTTAGAAATCGGAATTGGTTACGAGAATCGAAATTCGAGAATCGATTTAATACTCGATTTCGTAAACATAACATTACAATTATTTTATATTATTTGAAAGTTGGGTTAATACATAATAATCATCGTTTAAGTACCCACTTCGATTTATATGAATATTGATGGTGCTGGTTGAAAAGACTTTATCGTTATAAAACTTGTTGACAGGTGTGTTTATAATGTTCTTACTTTTTTACTTGTGTTGTATGTACACATAGTACCGATTGGTTTTAATTGGTTTGATTAAAGATTACCTCAAATAAGTTACATTAACTTTAGAAAACATAAAGTTAATAAAACAAATGGGATTCCGTATTATAATTGCTGGAGAGAGCCAATGTGCTGCTTACGCAGAGACATGCCTCCTAGCCGATTATCTTTCACGAAATCTTCCAAATTTTTGTTATCATTGTATTGAAGTACCTGTAATGGACTGGAAGGTGAGTACAATATTTTTTAACTAAGTATAAAAAAAACGGAATACGGTGCCAAATAAGCAGACTGATACGACTATACTTACTTACACCTGTGTATCCAACAGGTGAGGCATGTGGGAAACCAACCCATATTGTGTCGGTATGGTAAAAGTAAAATATCCCTGTATATTAAGTGAAGTAGGTACACTGCTATTACATTACTTTACATTAAATAAATATTGCTTCTTAATCTTTTATATACATCGCAACATTATACAATTTTAAACAAAAATGGAATAAGCTGTGGCTGCTACCAACTGAATATTAGTTAATAACTACCAAATAGTATTATTATATTGCAATTATTCTTTGTAGACTTGGTTATGTAAAGTAAACGTGAAAAATAAATGGCATCATATGGAGTCACCTATTGTTTGGAAAGAACTATTGATGAAGGGAAGTAAAGCCCAATACATTGGAGGGGCATCAGACTTTTTGGATTATTGTTATTCCTATTATAATTTTGACACATTATTTTCATCAGAAAAGTATGATGGCTTACTTAACAATGTCCTACAATTTAAGAGAAAACTTCATATAGAAGAAAATTTGCACATATTGGATGCAGATAAAAGGCCCACATTAGATGCGCCTCCTCAAAAGAAATTTGTAGTAACCATTTCTGGAGCCGGCCACTTACTAGCTATGCATTTAATATCAGGCTTAGTTGATCATGCAATAATGGCAAGTGATAACATAATTCACAAAATTTATTTGTATGATCAAAGTTGCACTCCATCATTTATGAATTATATTGAAAAAGAATGTTCCTATGTCCAAACTGATAACCCAGGAAGAGACATAAAGTGTGTTAGTAAAATTGGAGTTGCGCTTACTTATACGGATGTACTTATTGTTCTGGATCACGAACCGTTCGAGTAAGTTAGCAAGTTAGTACTACTATCGGAAGGTACACTTTGGAACGAGCAACTAGCTTCACTAAAAGGACTGACCGACAGACTGATACTTTATATCTTTAAAATTTTGTTTGCCTGTCAAAAGTGCCTGTAACGGTCTAATTGTTTGACTTTTGACACACGTTTTCTTTTAAATGGAGGAACGTGGTTGCTACGTTGTCAACGTCCATGTTCACCCTTTCTTAACCTTTTAGGGTATCATAGGCGTGATGTTGTATTGTAATTTCATTATTTTACTTTTACTCTGGTGGTCGTTTTTATTTTCAGTAAGAGTAAACCAATGGGTGCTTGGCTACGTCAAAACAGAAATAAAATGAAAGAATTGGCTCTGATGATCAATGCTTCAGGATCGCGTAAAATGTATATAATTTTCCCCAATTTGGGACCTGCTTGTTATAATGCTACAATTTTAAGAAATTCTGTAAACATTAACAAGAACAATATTGTGGTTGCGACTTCTGACGTTGGGGTAGAAATTTTGCCAGTTGTAGCAAAAGTCGCTCAAGTGCCTATGAGGAATATTTTTTGTCCTCCAGTGTGGGGGTTCATCGGAATAAACCAATTAGTCGATATACAAACAACAATTCATGTGTATAACAGCTTCAATCCATATAAAAGATACGCAAGAGTTAGACATTCATCTTTGAACATAGGGTCTATTACTCCGGAAACACGTCTGCTAGATTATTTAATGCACTTTGATGAAACTTTATGGATTAAAGTAGCTGAGATGAAAGTAAGTACGTTATAAAGTATATTGACCGTATATAATTGTAAAATATATATACCTTTCTATATTATGGAAGCTGCTGACTGCTGTATAATCTTTAATCATTTATGTAAGCAAGTGACAAAATTGTATAAGGCGTCTAGTTGACGCATTACACAATATTTTGTAAGTTGTACCTGGACAATTTACAGTAAGGAAAAACTAATATCTAGAGTAAATATTTTCCAGCAAGACATCAAACCCCTCTGTCATTTGCCGTAGAATCGTGCGTATAAATATGCGGTTACCCTTTTTCCTTCCGTTCCTAAACTATTTTATTCCGTCATACCATTTGTCTCAAAAAATTATAATCATATTATTTTACTTCCTTAGGAAAAGTTTGGCCATGGGCAAGCAAGATTAAGTAAAGCCATTGCAGTCATTAGTTTGGTAAATTTATGGCTTCTAAATCCAAGTCCCGACCATATAGTGAGTTTAGGCATTTGTTGTGATGGTAAATATTATTGAGATACCTAAATATTTATAGCATGGACCTAAATTACCTAAATTAATAAAGTTACTTATATATAATTATTTTTCTACAAAAATATGAATCACGAAATACAATAATTCTAATGTAATAATTCATAATAATGATGATGATGAATGTTATCTAGGGTCCTTTGGATTACACTTTGATGGGATATTTTCTCAACCTGCAAGATTTGTCGATGGACGATGGAAACCAGCTACAGACTTTTTAATGCCAAAAGATCGTCAAATGAAGTTACCATATTTAATTGACATGGCCAAATTAGTAATGAAGATGCAACCCAATGATCTACCAGAAATTCAGCAATATTATCCTTGCATATGTAAAAAGAAGAATTATAAAATAAAAGAGAAGTAGGATTTTATCTTTAATCATATACTATTACAACATATAATTACAATTACTCTCTACTACGATTAAAGAATTATTCTTTAATCGATCACTCGAATAGAGTCACTCGGTTGTCAACTGTCACTAGTTTCTGAACGTCAAATTCGAATTAGGTAGTCAACACAACAATGTGAAGGTAGTCAAGTTTCGTTTCGAGCTAGTGGTTGACGAGACGTTGTAGCAGATTGTTTCGTAATTCGCAGTCAGAGGAATGTTATGACGTGCAGTAACTGTCTTTGTTTGAATAACATTAGTTTTAAACTTTACTCGAAAATCATACAATAATGTGATAGATAGAGCTCGATAATATGCTAGTAATCGCTTTTATTGCGACACGAGTTTTCCCAAAGTATGATCGTTTCAATAGAAGTTATTATAGTTAGGCTTTGGTATCGGTTAAGTTGTGTGAATATTGTGCCAATAATGAGATAGTGGAGTGCTGTGATGTGGTTGTGGGACATGTGGGGGGTGCTGTGGGCCGTGGAAGCGGTGGCGCAACTGGCTGGTGTGCTGGCGACGCCACTGGACCCCGCGCCTACGATCCCGCAAGGTGAGCTGAGGAGAACCTGGCCGCCTACGCTTGTCCATCCTACCTAACTAGCTCTGTGGCTTGCATGCACGTCTTTGCTTATGTTTTATGTCACATGGACTTAGTGGTGTTTTGTTTACTTTCGTGGGAACTTACATTAAAAGTAATATAACAATGCGTTATTTGTTTTTATTTGTAGTAAGTAATAACAGAAGTATAAGTCAATCCAATGTCTGTAAATAGTAAAAGTATAAAATAACTTTCCTGCAGAGTACTCTTAAAGAAATTTCACTGCATTTTTAAGGTTTGTAAAATTTGTCCTTGCAAAACATGTTTAGAAACTGTGTATTTTTGAATGTAGAATTCTTTACTGCTGTAACACAGTGATTTCATTATATTTGAAGAGCCTATTATTTAAATTAACCTAACTACAGTTATTCTTTTACATTTTCTAATTAGATCTTACAATGTTATAAAACTAATTTTAAGGTGGAATGCAACAATTTTCGTTATGGAACATTTTTTTCTGATACATTCAATATTCTGTGGTCCACCATTCGGCATAGGTTTCAAATCTTTGTGTGTTGTTTACTTCACAACCACTAACAGCATTCAGATTTATTCAATTCATTAAGATTTTCCTATGTCAATTAAAAATGTTAAAATGAAAACAGATCAGAATGATCTATGTAACTTAATGGTCAACTGTACTTTAGCCCATTCAAGTAGATATATGTATATCCACTTGAATTGAAGTAAGTTGTTGAAGTAAGTTATGCAAAAAATAAAAATGTTCTTCCTAGCTTTACTAATGTGATGGTCAGAGTTCATTGTACATCCAAAATTAAAAAATGTACATTTTTTTTCACCATAATCTATGATGTGTCAAACAGGTAAACATAAAATATACTTTAAACTTTTGCATTGCATATTAACACTCTACCTCTTTAAACATCAAGCAAATAACAAATAAAAAATAGGTAAACATAAAGTATTTTGCTCTAAGAGAGATATGTTTATGAAAACTGGATTATTTTGTTTGCCCTCCAAGTTGATCACACGGGTACGCATCTTAATGCACATGCACATAGTACAATGGCAACATGTTTAGCTCATTATTTAAAATAAATAAATAAAAAAACCAATAATTAATTATTATGTGTCAGAAATTAATCTGTACTTATAAAAAAATAAACTAATATTTTTAAATTGAATATACAGTTTAACAAAGCTTGGATAAATATATATCTTTTATCTTAATTGAAAAGAAAGTTACAATGTGAAATAATTACAATGGAAATTTATGGATCATAGTGTGTAATTTTGTCTAAAGCATATGGCAACAGTCGGGCAATTGATGCATTGTTAAAATATAAACAGTAGTTTTATTTGTTGCAAAATATAGTTACTGTTAGTATTTTTGAGGTACCTGCTGTTGGATATTATAGGATGGTAATCGTGTTATAACTTAGTGACTCCATTGCTATCCACAAAAGTTGTGCCAATTTGACAAATAAATCCACTCTCTTCCATTACCAAACATTGCAAAATCCGAAAATCTAATTAACACTAATTATCTAACTAGGAAATCAAAAAAGAAATTCCTTGTGTGGTATAAAGCTATCCACCTACTAAAAATTATACTCACCCAATAAAGATATTGCAAAACTAAAACTTTAAGGAACTGCTGCTGTGACATGAAAATGGTTTTGTAACGCAAATACAGTGCACACTAGCCCTAAAATAAGACAGAGGCTTAAAAATAGATTCCTTATAAATGAAAAAAAATTTTTGTGCTTGACTCATTAAAAATTAGTACTACTTATTAGGTTAATAATACAATATTATCAAATACCTGTGTTTAGGGGTAATTACTCTAAACAGACTGTAAAAATCACCATTACTACAAGTCAATATTTTTTATTGTCACTAAAAAGGCTAAAGTTATTCCATTTGCATCATTAGATGCTACTCTTATGGCAACACCGGATATATGACTCGCATCTATTTATGCCTTGTTAACTGCTAGCTAGGTGGTAGGAGCCAGGCGTTTTTTATAAACTTAGGATTCTAGTGAGTTTAGGTCTAGGTATCTTAGGTTTTATCTAGTCATATGTGTATATTGAAGAAGTAGACCAAGATCAGTACCAACTTGGCGGTAAACAGCAAAAATTTGAGCGCAATTAATGAAAAGAACAGAATGTCAATAAAAAAACTAACATATTTCAATTCTCCTATGACGTAAAATTAAAAAATAAACCCTCAGAAAAATACTCAGTGTTACCCACCGATTCAAAACAAACGCAAAAATACATTTGATTGATAGGATTATTTTGGGCTGTCTATTTTGGAGGGTTCACTTATTTTCTTGTTTTGTGAGTAACTTGGTTAACATAGCTGTCTGGTATCTAATTGTAACGGTGAACAAAGTAAAATGCATTAAAGCGAGTTTTAGTGTAATTGGATTGTGAAGTTTGTGTTTTGAATGCGCATACGCGGATAACTCGCCGTCGACGCACGATCCGCGTCAGTGCGGCAAACGAGGGACACATCAGTTGCATAACAAGCGGGTGCTGCGGTATCCGGCTAACGGGACCGCGGTGCGAGGAGGGAGCTCTGAATTACCTCCGAGTCTAGACATGCTATCGCGATCGTGTCAGATTCGACACCACAGATGCTACATCCAACCACTAGAACCGATAAGTGTTTTGGCAATTTTTCACAGCATCATCACATCTAGATGATGCGATAGTAACGCGCTGTAGACTCTCACGAAACTTCCTCATTTCGTCATTTCCCATCACGAAATATGGCTGTGAAACATGATCGCAGACAGTCTGTGGGAGCGAGCTTATTCGTGCGATCATGAACGAGACCGTGACTGATCGGACACAATGCCCGGGCGGACGCAACGATACCAAGTAGCTTTATAAATTGGAAATAAGGTCACTTGTACACACCTAATTATTGAATACGCATAATGAAGTAAACTTGCTTATCTGAATTGTTTTAACGTGTTCATGTAATTGGTTTGTAATCTTCAAGTGCGGAAGGCAAACTGGGAATCCTGTTTGTGTTCGCGCGTCCATCGAACTGGTTTCCAGAGGGCAATGAGTCTCATTACATGGCAAATGACTTCGCTAGCTTCCAGTGGCTCGTTACATTTACGTATTAGTTCCTCTACATTTTACAGGTAGTAGGCAGGTCAGGTTCGGCGAGAAACATCAGTAATGGTCCTTTAGAACTTGTTCTCGCATAAGACTATGCTGATAACATTGGAACGTTAGAAACCTTGTGTTTTCGCGAGTTGGGTCCTGGGTTGGACACTGTTAACTATACCATAGCTGCAATTTATGTCTAAAAAGGTACCTAAATAAGTTTAAACATGTACAAGTATTTAATTGTTACAATATTTTTTGGCATTTCTATTTGTCGTTTAGGTATATTTCAGTGATAAAAGTTAATTTCAGTATCTCCAACAATAGCTCGCTACAAGCTGAAGTTATTTATTTAAACAACTTACCGTGTACTTCATTATAACCATAATGAGATTATGTACCTGACTACCTAAAAACGCAATTGAAACAATTTATTGTCAGCCGACCAACCATTGTTAAATTGACGTTAACAATAAAATGGGAAACCAATTGGGGTCCCGTTATTAAAATGTCACAGCGTAAAGAAATACCTCGTTTGATGTAGCGTTGCCTTTGTTCCATATAACGAGCTATCAAAGAAGCTGCGCCCCGACCCGGGCTCGAATAAAACGAGTGTTAAAGGCCACCACTTGGAATGTTTTGCTAAAAGCTACGAGTACTAGAGAAACCTTTGCTGATATTCAAGATTTAAGCACGTTAAAAAAACGCCTTAATTTTATCATAATCTGTAGTGTCACCTAACCGGCTATCACGGTAGAAATATAGGAAAGTTTTGTTCAATAAACCTGTACTTATAAATGAAGTTTTAAATTGATTTTCTAACTAATTAACAGTCTTCGCATGACCTATAGGAGCTGGGCTAAGAAGCAAGAAACTTGGTTAGAGCTATTGATAGATGTACTAAATAGGAATTACTGCAAAGTGAGTGGCAAAACCTTTGTAAATACAATAATCAGTTTTAAAATACCCGTTGCAGGCATATAACAATGGAGTCTGCAGTATTCCTTCACAACCTTTAAAATGAACAATACTCATTCTCAAGATACACGAAGTATTCTTTAATCTTGATAGCTTTTAACCTGTGGGTAAGCAAAATAATAAGATTACAACACAATTATCAATGATGCGAACGTTGCGACAGGGTACGTCGTCGCCAACTCGGCACTGCAGCGATTGTATTGGCGAGGCCGCTGTGTATTGCCATGAGTGCTAATGCTGCATAAATTGTACAGCAAATACTCGACATCGTTGCCCCTTATCGTCCTTCACCGTTATTAGAAACCATCTTCTAACTGTTGCCATATTTTCCACACACTAACCTGTATAATAATTTTCCCCCGTCATGTAAATAGGTGAATTATAATCGACCAATTGAACATCAGCAATCGAAGAGAGTAGTAGAGCAAATAATGATTGTGTTCTCTTCAACTTAAGTGTAATTTATTCATCTGTACCAAATCTTAGCTTATGCTAGTGTTTAGGTCCGGCAATTTTTTCAAATGCAGTTATCAAGCGAAGGTGATTCTCAAGTAACGTCAATTTATATTTTTATCAAAATTAATCATCTACGTAGGTACAGTTGTTTGCAAATACACGAAGTAAAAGAAAAACTCGTTTACAATTATACTAATTAAGATATCTTTTGCTTTATGCATCTAAAAAAGTAAAACGCATCGTCTTGTTTTCGTACAAGGTGATTTGTCGTTAGCCAACTTCTGTTTGGATAAAAATAGATACGTAGTCATTCACAAATTGATTATTTTAGGTTGTGTGAGAGACTTATACATACATGTTTTTACAATATATTTGGTCACATTTTATAATGAATTAAACATAAATAAAGATCCATAAAATGAAAAATTATGCTGTAAGCAGTAAATTAATAATAGGTCGGTACCTACATAAGTTCCCCCTTCTAGAATCTTGTAAATCTTGGATAGGCTGGTGCACTTCTGAAGAGTATTAATTTCTTAATATATCTCTCGTCTCAACGCGACTAGATAAACTGGGAATCTAACAGGGCCGACCGGTTGTTGAGCAATAATTTTATGTGCATGCGCGCAGGAGCTAAAATGATCTTACCTACCTGTTCTGTCTATATACTGACCTTTACTAAAATATCGTCTTCGTCATTACATTTAATGTTTATAAACGTACAGCCTTGGACTAACGAAAACTTGTTTGTATTAGTGCTATCTGCAAAAAATAAACTTAGAATCTGATGCCATTTTGTTTTTTATTGGTCTTAAAATCATAACTTGTCCTTACCCAGATGATGCTAAATGATCTTTTAATGAAGCGCAGAGCATTTTTACGTATTTTTAACGCATAATAAGCTTAAATTAAAACATCATCAATATTTAACGCTTAAAATACATAGGTACTAACGTAAATTTTATTGCTTTATGTTTGTCGATATCAGTTCAAGTCCCAAAGAAATTTTGTTGTTCTTAGTTCCATGTAAGTAAAAAGGTTTGATTGCAAAATAGCGTGTATGAACGTATTGATGTAAAAAAAACAAAAATAATTCACATGTAACATTCACGACGCCACAAGCAAAATTAATTAAAATAAAAACCGAACCGTTGTTTCTTTTGTAACGGCGCTGCTCGTGCTAAAAACTGACTAGCTATTAAAGAAGCAATTTCTTTTTTGTATGCGCCATGTTTGTCTTTTTGGATGACTTTTTGTGGTCATCAAAATTACGCTTTTAAATTGAAATTCGGTGGTTTTGTTGACTCAATGTAGGAACAGTGTTTACCAAGACCATATCTAAACAAAAATACCTTTTTTCTTCTTTTGCTTAAAAACAGTGAAATAGGTACTTCTTTTTACTTATCATGCCTGTGGCAACTACCTATGTATATGCTTTGTGATAGTTAACGCACTTAAAAGCTTGAATTTCAGCGTCTCAGCTACTTAAAGGTAAAGAGATGGTGATGTTCTAAGCTAATTGTAATACAGAAATACCAGACCATATATACAGTTGTGTGCCAGCGGAAGACGGAAGATAGCTGCAAGGTCGCGAGCTGTCACCTTCCCCTCCTCAGCAACTCGCCTCCTTTAGTAATTATTTCGACACAAGCCAATTAATGGCCGTGTGCCTCGTGGATATAAGCCATAATTAAATTTTGATTATTATCTACTCAACTCGTGTATTCAGCGAGTACCTATACCTAATGGCGCGGTTTTTGGCAACATTATTCGTTTATGAAGATTGCGTTGTTCCATTACCTGAGTAATGATGAGTTATGTAATGTCTGTAATGCGCTTTGGGGACCGGTTGTCGTATGAACCCGTCACGTACTTGATTAGTGAAATCTAGAGCAGGTACCCACAACATACTTTTAACCACTGGTTTATTGGAAAGGAGTTTTAGGTTGTCCATGTTGACCCAACAACCTTGAGAGTTCAATTCTAAACTGTGACATGTCTAATATAATATATTATGAGGTGGTGACTTGTAAGTTTATAAAGTTTATAGATGCTCATTATTATAACCTTGTCCAATCCAATGAATTCATAGAATATCACTTAAGTAAGTAGGTATAAAGAGCGGTCCACGTAGGCCAGAGACAAGTCTAGACAATGTGTGTGGGCGTTTGAAATATGTCTTTCTTTATAATAAATGTTTCTCTCGATTTAGTTAGAAAATTAGCAATTCAGTACGAGTAGGTATAGTAAGGCTATAAACCTGGCATGTCCTACGCAAGGTTGAAGTGCCATGCGATATGAAAATACAAGAGAATTAACAGTGACCCGATGTTTATTTATACATTGGTACTTTTGTTTGGTAATTGGTTCATTTAAAACTTAGGGCTTAGATTGGATTATGTTACCTTAATTTTGCTAATTCGTTCATTCAAGACTTTCAGCTTGGATTATGTTACCTTATTTATAAATTATACTGCATTGATTTAACTATTAATACATATCATATAATCTAAGCGTAATGGAGTATTTTCCACACATGTAATGTCTAATGTATATGAACGACCTCTATTTTTAGTATTTTCAAAAGTGTCAACTAGGTAACTATAATAATTCATTGCGGGTATAGGTTAGGACAAATGTAGACTCTGTTGATACTTCTGAGAATTTCTTGAAAACCTGAGAAGTACGTTTCGCCTTGTAATCGTAGCTTGAATAAATATTATTTCTTATAATTAAAGTATGGGACAGCCATGCATTGGCACGAATGGGCCGGCTCGACCGGAGTGATGCCATGGCCTCACAAAAATTGGCATGAAACGACTTGTGTTTTTCCACCCTCCAAATCCCCTAATTATCAAATCTCCAACCCCCGAAAGGCTCGCAACACATTACGAATCCTCGATGTTAGATGTCACACACTTGCCAACCTATAGGTACCTACCTACCATAAAAATATAATCTCGTACTTCGATTCTGCTTGCAATAAAAATGCACTAAAGTCATCTTAACTGATCTCCGAAGGTCCTATAAAATGCTAAAGTTGAAGAATACTAAGTGACTGAGATTAGTTCCGAATATTGACTTGAGGTGAACTCATCGATGGAGCATTCCGTGCCGTCATCGTTCTCGGATACCTACAACGACCAATACCGGATAAAAAATGTTACACGAGGTACAAGACTAAGTCTAAAGATCACAAGGTTGAAATTAAAGACATCTCAAACTTCCGAATGATAGAAATATTTCCACAAGAAAATAAAAAAGCAAACCAATGCGGCGTCATACGACATCTTGATTTATATAAATAAGATTAATATACTCACAAAAACTTCTTACTCAACCACTTTTCGAATATAAAGGATAAATAATAATGCCGGTGCCGATTCTCATAGTACGATGCTTTCGTCAGAAAGGCAGATTAACATCACAATATTGCATTAGGTATGGCGATCGTGATCTGTGCGTTCAACCTGTGACTATTTTTGGCAAAGTGTTACGTTGAAAAGTGGATAACAAGAATTTCTTTACGGTTCTTTGACATCACGCCTAAAATGGAAGATAATATAATGTAATCGGGTGTGGAGAATTGCCATAAAATTGTTGAAGGTTTATTATGATCTAAATATTAAGAAAAAACGCCAGAATGAGGTACCTGTCAGCCTTGCGATTACATTTTTAAATTAAAGTGGTATCTACTTACTTATTTCTGTTTTGGTTCGGTTTCTTGTAATATTGTTGATGCCAACGTTTAGGTATTTGAAGTTTTTACCTATTACTGGATATTCCGATAAAAATTCTTCTTCTATTACTTGAAATTCCTCTATCTGATTCCTATTGACAGTAAGTCGCTTAACGTTATCTTTCCGCACGCTTACACGTGGTTAAGCCGCAATACTGTCCCCTCTGCATGACAAAATACGGTACTTCTATTTATTTTTTGGGAAAATTATCTTTTAATTCAATGCTATTTAATTTCCTATTGTTCAATGTCCTTCTTCATGTCAACTAGGTATATATAGCATGCAAAATGGTTGTATAGGGTTGTGTAGATAAAAATAAAGAAACTTACTTCCGCATTTAAAGTACTAGTTTGTTTGTTGGTGTACATATTTACTTGTTATTTAGTCCAATGTAAAGCAAAACCTGCATATTGCCTAGTACTTTATGGTAGTTTGTACGTAGGTACCTAATATTATGCAGGTATGTTGTAGGCTGTCTAACGCAGGTATGTAAATACTATGATGTCATATTCAGATTAATACTTACTACCAATTCCCAATTGATTCTCAATGGTAAACGTATAACCTGTTTCACGCCAAGGATGTAAACATGTCAAAAGTCTATGACCACAGAGTAGGTAAGGTACTGCCTAATTTATAAATTTGATTTTACAGTACATTGAAGACTGTAAAATTTTAAATTGATTAATTGAACAACCATAACAATATAAACTATGATTACTTACACACAAAAATTAAAAAATGCACGTTCTTCAAAGTACGATGTAAAAAAATTACAATCGTTCGTTACCTTGACGTTAAAAAACTCGTCTATTATACTTGTACTTTCAATAAACATGATATTCAAATA